AAATCAATAAAGGACCAGTGAGAATTGTCTCTCAAATGCGTCTGAGAAGCCTTAACTCTTCACCATAAAAACCAAGCGCATTGGCCGTTGCGTCAAATCTGGCCGCGTTGGAGAACAGCACACTCCTCACATCATGACCGCACAATCAACACTGACGGAGAGTCGGAGTCTCGGAGACTAACAAAACAAATGACAATGACAACGAGCGAAGCTTGACTTCGTCCTGAGTCCGGACGCTGAGTTTGTGCTCACGGCAGCCCACAGGTCTTATGACACAAAGACCCGTGATGGGCTCGTATACTGCGAGCCATATTCATTCTTGCGTGAACTCACACAGAAAACAGATAGGGACAAAAAAAAACTTTAATTGCAAACGATAAAGCGTAGGGAAAGCTTAGCTCATATTAAAAATAGCTTATTTAGTAGAATTAAAACCAAATCATTTCAAAAGATTTGATCGTAAATTTTTCTCTTGGCAAGCTTGGCTGCGGGTATTTTTAGAGCGGGGCACGACTAAACAATTAACGCGATTGCCGATGAATATAAAACGAAAACCTCACAACGGACCAGCGAAATTCGATAGTCATAGGCAAGTGTAGCGCCAAAATGGCGATACACTTTGAACCATAGAACATGATCAGGTAATGCAGTTAATTGTCGGGTAGCTCACACACGATCAGTGAACGTCGCCGAGTCTTTTCGGTTAGATGCCGGCAAGTTCTAAATTAAGACTGTCGTCACTGAACTAAAAGTTCTACAAAATAATATCTGCTGCTGGCTGCAGCACTCAATTAAAAAATAACATTTTTGGGTAATTTAAAAAATACACTTAAGTGAAGTGATCATAAATCTAAAAAACCTAGACTAGGAGCTGACAGGAGGTAACATGCATCTCTGCCCCCTTATTAATTTGTGCGAGACACAAGCTGAAACACAGTGGTCACTAGCATCAAAATGGAACTACAGAATCAAGTTAGTTGGTTAGTTTAGTTGCCACATGTTTACCAGCGCTTCAGCTATTTAGCTATCTCGCACCGAAAGTCAAGAGGAATATCACCAACGAGGTGGAAAATTTCAAGTATTGAAATTTGTTAACATAAAAAATCGTTCATCACCCACAAGGGGCGGAACGTTTTTAATTGTCCAGCCCGCTGAAGCTATCAAGAAAGAATCGGCGTTAGCATCTCAAAGAGACGAAGTGACACGGAGGGACAGGTAAAAAGCAACAGAAACTAAGACACTCGAACAAGAGGTCGCTTACACGGGAGTTCGGCCGCCCGTACGAGAGAGACAGAGAAGGGAAATGTAAGGAATCCTACCTACATAATAACTCCATGTAAGGAATCCTACCTACATAATAACTTAATGTAAGGAATCCTACCTACATAATAACTAAACTCCACATCTAAGACCTGCAGTCAGACACCGCGAGCTCAGCGACGAGGCGCTCAGGAACAATCCCCCCTAGGAGCACAAAATCCCATAGGACTTCTGACGAACACAGACACGCGTCAGAAGTGTTCCATGATAGGCTACAGAATCAAGTTCAGGAAACGATAATTAGAGCCATGTGGCAATCTTCTATTCTAAACTATAATTGTAAAATTTCAACATGGTAATAACTAATTTGGAAGAAAAGCTATGGAGACTACGACGATTATAATTATACCAAATGGCACTCCCAACAACCCTAATTGTTCGCGTGTTGCAAGTTCTTCTGCAGGTTTCGAGTGGTCATCAACGAAGTTAATAAAAAATTACAGTAAGTTTTTATTTTGGTTTGCAGAAGGCAGGTGCTTCGGGTAGCGCATCAAGAGAAATGAGTTAATGAAGTGTATCTGGGAGCACGCGATAATGAAATGAAATGTAGACATAGGCATCGATAGTAGAACATAAGAGGCAGGCACAACCTATAATAAAATTAACATGGACTGTCCATTGAGGTCATTAGGAACAACAGTGCATCATAAAATGAAGCAGTAACTATGATAGAGTAACACATCACCAAATGAGCGGATGATTAAGAATAAACGAGCGAAAAGTTCTCGCAAATGTGGCGGAAATGACACTGTTCCACTTTGATCTTCAGCCATTATAAGATTATCAAGTAAAAAGTATCCTTCCAGCAGCATGATATCAAAAGCGTATTGACTGCATGAACCATACCTACTTGAATATTTTAGTCAGGTTTTTATTTTAAAAGCTGCAGAAAAGAAGTAGTTCACGGCACTCGATGCTCATTTCTGAGGTAATTAACAGTTCTGCAGTCACACACCCGAGTTAGAACACAAAAATGCGCTGTAAACGTAATAGGAACTCATTTCACTAACACACCCCAATTTAAATTATTTATACTGAGTACGTAACATAGAACTCAAAAGAAAAATATGGAAGATATTATGGTTTAGAAATATGGTTTAGTTATCCGCGCTGGCGACGGAAAGACGCATTTTAACAGATTGCAAGCACTCTGAATATCTGTCAGGGATTCATTTAGTACAAAAAACCAATGAAATAACAAATCTCTCTCGGACCATAGGGAAGAGGGTTGACAGAGTTAATATTGTGGTAGTCGAGCGGGAAGCGAAGAAGGCATGTACAAGCCACAATAGAAACGTCACTGAACAGTGAATTTTTGACGACCGTAGTCGGGGGGAGTAGGTACGTCGATGCGTTATCATCGAGCGACTCTCGTCGCTGATAAGAGAGATAACTGTTTATGCAGGCGGCTCTTGTTCAGCGTTTCCCACGTAAAAGCGATAGGCGCGTGGCTGGGGCAACCGGGTGCTACGTGTAGTAAATAAGTAACTACCTTGTATGATAGATTACACTGAGGTAACAATAGAATAGGGAACCAGAAAGTTAATAGGCAAAATATTCTATTCTTAGAGACAATGCTAATAAAGAATCGGGGAATAATGTACGATATATTTGGTGAAGTAAATTCGAATACCTATGATCGAGAGTTCGAACTACAATGAATTATTCAAAGAAGAGACAGGTTCAGACAGTGCCGGTATAATAGATGTAAGACAAATGAAACAAGTGGTCAGGACTTCAGAAGTGTTCCATGATAGGCTACAGAATCAAGTTCAGGAAACGATAATTAGAGCCATGTGGCAATCTTCTATTCTAAACTATAATTGTAAAATTTCAACATGGTAATAACTAATTTGGAAGAAAAGCTATGGAGACTACGACGATTATAATTATACCAAATGGCACTCCCAACAACCCTAATTGTTTGCGTGTTGCAAGTTCTTCAGCAGGTTTCGAGTGGTCATCAACGAAGTTAATAAAAAATTACAGTAAGTTTTTATTTTGGTCTGCACGAAGGCAGGTGCTTCAGGTAGCATATCAAAAGAAATGAGTTAATGAAGTGTATCTGGGAGCACGCGATAAGGAAATGAAATGTAGACATCGGCATTGATTATAGAACATAAGAGGAAGGCACAACCTATAATAAAATTAACATGGACTGTCCATTGAGGTCATTAGGAACAACAGTGCATCATAAAATGAAGCAGTAACTATGATAGAGTAACACATCACCAAATGAGCGGATGATGAAGAATAAACGAGCGAAAAGTTCTCGCAAATGTGGCGGAAATGACACTGTTCCACTTTGATCTTCAGCCATTATAAGATTATCAAGTAAAAAGTATCCTTCCAGCAGCATGATATCAAAAGCGTATTGACTGCATGAACCATACCTACTTGAATATTTTAGTCAGGTTTTTATTTTAAAAGCTGCAGAAAAGAAGTAGTTCACGGCACTCGATGCTCATTTCTGAGGTAATTAACAGTTCTGCAGTCACACACCCGAGTTAGAACACAAAAATGCGCTGTAAACGTAATAGGAACTCATTTCACTAACACACCCCAATTTAAATTATTTATACTGAGTACGTAACATAGAACTCAAAAGAAAAATATGGAAGATATTATGGTTTAGAAATATGGTTTAGTTATCCGCGCTGGCGACGGAAAGACGCATTTTAACAGATTGCAAGCACTCTGAATATCTGTCAGGGATTCATTTAGTACAAAAAACCAATGAAATAACAAATCTCTCTCGGACCATAGGGAAGAGGGTTGACAGAGATGATATTGTGGTAGTCGAGCGGGAAGCGAAGAAGGCATGTACAAACCACAATAGAAACGTCACTGAACAGTGAATTTTTGACGACCGTAGTCGGGGGGAGTAGGTACGTCGATGCGTTATCATCGAGCGACTCTCGTCGCTGATAAGAGAGATAACTGTTTATGCAGGCGGCTCTTGTTCAGCGTTTCCCACGTAAAAGCGATAGGCGCGTGGCTGGGGCAACCGGGTGCTACGTGTAGTAAATAAGTAACTACCTTGTATGATAGATTACACTGAGGTAACAATAGAATAGGGAACCAGAAAGTTAATAGGCAAAATATTCTATTCTTCGAGACAATGCTAACAAAGAATCGGGGAATAATGTACGATATATTTGGTGAAGTAAATTCGAATACCTATGATCGAGAGTTCGAACTACAATGAATTATTTAAAGAAGAGACAGGTTCAGACAGTGCCGGTATAATAGATGTAAGACAAATGAAACAAGTGGTCAGGACAACACCCGATCTCATGCACTGATCATGAGAAAGATCAAAGATCGCGCGATCCCATGAATTAAACACTGCTACTCACTGGGAAATCGAGGGGACCCGATAAAATTATTCAAAGGCTAATATGGCTAAATAACACCCGATCGCAATGAGTCAACACTAGTAAGTTTTCAATTTATGAGATAGGAAGAAGGAATGAACTATTGCGTGATCTCAAAATTTAAAAACAGGAAAGAAGTGAGAGCACGCGATCTCATAGCACTGGGAAAAACAAGACAGATCACCAATCTCGTAAGTTAAACACTGAGAAGATGTGATCCTCACCTGATCTTACAAATTAAAGGCTAGGAAGATGCATGACGTTATATTATATATTATTATTATTATTATTGTTATGACTCACCCGTAACTTCTTTGAGTTTTCTGGCATAGGTTTTGAGGTAGTTTTTGGACTGCTTAAGTTCTGCCGTCAAACTGTCCACTTGAGATTGCAGCTCCTGACGCCGCCATAAAATACGAGAATATTAATTGTTGTGCTCTACAGCGGTGACTTTGAAAGACCAAATCGCCTCCAATTTTGAATGCAAGCTCTTTCAGCATATACTAACACGAATGGCTGCGAACGTTCATTACGGTATTTGTAACGCAAATTTCACGTTGCCAGAGTAACTAACATTCAATAGAGTTTAGATTGAAAATTTCATGTTATTTACTTAATGAACGAACCTTCAAAGAATTATTTGGTAATATGCTAAATCATGTTTACAAAGCTATCAACACAGTAACAGTTCCTAAAATTATATTACCATATTGAAAATAATCACTTGTTTATGTTTACACACATGTAGGCGCATCACTCACCACGTTCTCATCAATAAGGCGCATCACTCACCACGTTCTCATCAATAAGGCGCATCACTTCGCTCTCGAGGAGCATGTCGCTGACGCCTGAAGCGACGCGCGGTGCGCCGTTCACGCCGCCTTCGCCGTCTGCTGAGGACACGAGAAAATCAAGTCGTGCATCTGATGCAAACTCGTCAGGCAAATTTGAATAATTAACCTTAAAGCTTCATCAGAGAATAAAATTTGATCCACGAGATGATCCGCTTTCAGACCGAGAAAAATGGCGATTTTTATAAATTGGAATTAATAAATTGGAAAAAGCGCTAGAAATATGAGCCATAAATGAGACAAAAAGAGGAAAATATTTCATCCTGAAAAAATAAAAAAATCTTTGAGGGTAGATAAGAGAAAGAGCCTGATGCTGACCTGGCATCAACATGGCGGAGGTGATAAACAATCCAGAGCACAATAAAAAATATCTAATTCATCTTACTGAAATAAAACAGCAGCGTTTAGGACAGATAAGAGCCTGATGCTGACCTGGCATCAACATAGCGGAGGTGATAACTTTTTGTTGTCTCGCGTTCTCCTTCTTGAGCCGCTCGACCTCAGCCCTGAGCCGCGCGTCGCTCTCCTTACCGCGCTGCCGCTCCACTGTCAGCTCCTCGGTCAGCTGCCTGCACCAACACAATAAATTCTTCAGAATTCCGTCTCTATGATGGAGTGGAAAACAAATTATGAGGAAGAAATTATACTCTCTGATATACATTAAGCGGAGGTTGGTTCAAACTTGTTAATTGATCGGTTTCTGCTAACTTCTTTGTTCATCAAAACTGATTGGTTTTGTTAACTCATGCTACCGCAAGAGATAACAAAACGAACTAACCCCTCTATGCTTGAAAACAGAAGGAGCACTACTTCAACACTTCCGATAGTACGATTGACTTGTTAACACGAATGAACCCATAAATGACTTGTTAACACGACTTACACTCCGACTGACTTGTTGATACCACGAATACCACGACTGACTTGCTGATACCACGAATACTACGACTGACTAGCTGAAACCACGAATACTACGACTGACTTGCTGATACCACAATACTACGACTGACTTGCTGATACCACGAGTACCACGACTGACTTGTTGACGCGTTTCTGAGTCTGGTAGGCGACGGCGAGCTCGCCATCCTCGTTAAGGAGGTCGGGGTTCGCCTCGTACGACTGCGAAGACAGCGTGCGCAGCTCAGTCGCCCTGGTGGCCAGCACCGTGCGCAGGTGCATGCATTCCTCCCGTCGTCTCTCCAGCTCATCCTGCAGCACCGTGAACTGTTCTGTGGCGCAAAACAAACAAGCAGTTAGTAGCAATAACAGCATTGTAAAATCTAGATTCATAAGTGCAATAAATGGCTTATACTTTAACCCAAAAAATGCATAGCGTACTGCAAATTTTTCTTAAAGAAATGCCGTATTCGGACAAAAACATGTAAATTTCTATCGTTAAAAATACTATCCTTCCACCTATTTGAAGATCGAAATACGTGCTAGCGGAATATCAATCATTTTGGCAATGATAAGACCCTTGCAAGGCACTGATGGAAGGACCGTGCTCTGAACGAATCGTACAGCAACCGCAACGCACTTCATGTAATTATCTTTTGCAGAGTAGCTATGGGTTTTAAAACAATAAGAAAATTACAAATTCGTAGAAAAATAACAATTTTGACGCGCAATGAGTAATCGCATAACTGTAGAAGCAGCTTCGTAGCTGTATCTAATCGTGACAATTAGATGGGTGTAGCTAAATTCACTCAAGGGTGATATGAGGAAAACAAGCGGACGTGCGATCGCTGCGGCCACTTTATTGGCTCAGTGAGCGGATGAGAGAAGACCCAGGTAAACACAAGAAATAGAACACAATTATACTCTTCGTGTATTGACGATTACTTTAATGCTATGGCAAACAATACCATGAATTCTCGAGAATATCGCAGACTCAGTTTTTAACGCTGAAAGATAAAACCGAATTATATACTCGGTAAATGTGTTATGGAACCTTCTGCAAAATAATGTAGAATTATTATCACAAGATGTACCTCGCAAAGTGGATTGCAGTTGCAAAATGAGCTGCATGGTGGCTACCGTACAACAATATGGCATTTTTTTGGTTGAAGATCCTTTCCCTCGAGGATTCTGAGGATCCTCGCTTCTATTTGTTCCATATGATGCATGCGAGTCAGACAACACATGCGGTTCACGAGTGTTTGAAAATAAATGCTCATTACAGGGTTTAGGACTCTGGCGTTTCTGTGAATCGGGAAAAATATTTTTGAAGCTCTTCTTGTTAACGTCGGAGGGCACATCTTCAGAACAGGTAATACGATTTCCCTCGAATCTTGAGAAGACCAATGGCTCGTTTTCTTCGTCTGTGGTCGGATGAGAGGGCACGTCGGCCGAGTACTGTGAGGAAGATGATTCATCTCGCAACTGATCAAACTCAATGGAAGTTTCAGATTGGTTCGCGGCATAACTTGAACAATGTTTGCCAAGTCTCATACTTTCCACCGGGGATTGTTTAGGACAATCATCTAGTGATGTTTGGCGGCAGGAGTTAGAAAAGGACTCGTGAACATCACGGCGCAGGAGCAGTCCAGTCGGAATAATGGACGATGTGGAGCTGCCGTCCATTGGAATAAATGGAGCTTTAGTTTCATTAATCTTTGGAATAAAAATAACTTCCCTTTTCACATCAGACGATTTAAAAAGATTCGACGTACATCCGAAACATGAACGAGGCGCATGGCTAAAAATCGATTCTCTATGGCCAATTTGGGACAGGTTTCGTTCGTTGGAAATGACTACATCTGCTACCTCAGAATTCAAGGTAGAAATCATTTCTTTTTCACAATTGTTCGACTCGTTTGAAGAAGAGGAGAAAGAAAGGCTGCAAGACCGAAGGGAAGATGCAGGCAACGACTCAGAAAAATGCAGTAAATTCTCGTCTACGGCATCGATATCTACGCAGTTGTTGATGTCGAGTGACTGAGCAGCTAGTGTTGGGGTGGAAATGGTTGATTCGCATGGAGTAGAAGTACAAGATTCGTCGCAGGACCTCAACTGAGAGCTAGATGCTGCGTCGGCATTCCGGTTCACGGAACATACATTAACCGACTCCGGGCTAGAAGTAAAAATTGTTGAATTGCTTACGGTTCTGGCATCAGATGAACTAAATAAACTCGGGCTGGTGCTTTTTGTAGAAGCTGTAGGAGCAACAGTTTTGGGAGCAAGGGATGAAAAAAGTTCAGCGGTCAAGATTCCGCCACTCATGAGGCTCAAATCTTGTGCAACGTCTCTATGAATGGCATCAAGAAAATGAAGAGAAGCATCATCGCTCGCGTCTATAGCATGTAAGAAATTAGCATACGTATTGTTCATGAAAACGTAATAGTTTCCACGATACGACTGCAAACAATCAGAGGAAGGAGCATCTTGAAAGCAACAAATGGAGTCACTAGTTCGCCATTTTTCCTGGACATTTAAACTATTAAATCTATTAAGATCAACAGACGAGTCAATAAATTCAGACGTGCAAGATTCATCGCTTCGGATGGCTACGAGTTTGTCAGTGTCCGTTGATATATAATCGACGAGAGGCGTTCTGTAACTCATAAGTGACCGACCAGGAGATGTGCAATCAATAGATGGCACTATGACGTCTGGCAATACTTCGAATTTAGCGTTCCCATTGACAGGTCGAATGAAATGAGCAGAGAAACGAGTACTATTGTGACATTTTGGCAGTATTTCACAAACTGGCTGTTTAAATTTGATGCGACTCTCACTAAACGAGGCACTAGGAGACCGTGACCCATACATAAATGTTGCTGATGACGGTCTCAAGTCTTCAATGAATAAACTCGAGTCCTTGCTGTCACGCGACGAATCCTCCGAGCAATTAGAGAAGAATTTTTCATATCGTACTCCAAAATTGGATTTATTCGGGTCCAAGCCACACACTTCTTTCCTCTCACGAAGAATCTTCTCGTACAAATCTCTGTCAGGGTCCATGGTTAGGTTTCTAGAAGTCCTCTCCTGTCCATAGGAGAAACTTAACTGCTCACATTCAGGTCAATATCACTGACCATATACTCTTTTAGGCACAGCACAATACACCATTTGGCTACATTAACCAATTGCCTTCGAAGAACTGAAGCACAACAAGGTTTCGTAAAGTCCAGAATTGACGGACATTCACACTCTAAAACAAAAAAAAAGTATTTTTTTGAACATTTAAAGCATTAAATTTAATAAAAAATCTGCAATATCTTCGTAAGTAATATTAATAGTTTAATTTCAACCTATTTGACGACGCGTAATAGATGAAATATTATGCCAAAGAACGATATTGAAAACGTCTACACCACGACGTCTTACCGATACCACGAAACAAAATTGTCTAACTTTACGAATTATTTTGCAACTAAATTTCAACTATGCCAAAATTTAGAAACCTGGCAATATTTAAATAAACGAGTTTCTGGGGTTTCAAACATTTGGTAGTTATGCAATTAAAATTGGCAGGGAACGCAGCATGTGTTAAATAATCGGGAGTATCGTGCAGTGATTGAACAAACACTATACGAAGAGGGAGCTTCAACGGTTGTTTACTAGGCAGAGCTTTCAGATGCGTGCGCGAACATATGGCTTCATCAAACGCTCCTGTCGATTCATTTTCTAGCATCCGGCCGACGCCGCAAGAAAAAAAAAACTAAATAAGAGCAACACGCAGTCACGCGTGTCTTCCATGCATCTTCGTCAAAGTGTACCAACAGCTCATACAAAAATAGCTGCATATTTAAATGCACAAAAAATCAGTTCGGCCTAAACATTAATTTCAGTAAAAACTTGTAAGTGAATTAGTACCTCATGATTATCCTATTTATTTGTTGTTCAGATAAAAAATGTGAGATTGAAATCAAGGAAACTTGGAGTTGACTGATTAAAAAATTAGTTATTATCATTGTATTTAAACATTTAAAAAGCGAGTCTCGGAGCATACAAGAGTATGTATGGTAGCACTGAAACCGTTCTCATATAGGAACGAGACGATGTCATCTTTTAGAAATCACCCACAATCAAGCACTTAGAAACATTTTCTCGATCAAACTTTTCACGTAGTCCTCTAACTTTAATGCTATGATTTAATGATACTTTCAGATTTTCATGTCGCAACGAGTTAACAGTGGCATTTTGAACGACGATTCTGTCTTTTAAAAATAACCCACAATAACGCATTCTGATATATAATCTAGATAAAAAAATTCACTTAGACTTTAAACTTCACGCTGATATTCCATATTTAGGTGTGTCGTAGAGCAGCATTGACAGCACGCTGGAGAAGCGTCCGTGACAGGCAGGCATGCAGCTGCTTTCTCTGTATGGGCTGCGGTCACCCGGAGCTCTACTTCTGTCCTCCGCATGCAGTTAGCGCGCCACTCACCACACGTAATAATGCGGACAAACTCAGCCTTGCATCAACTCAAGCTATTATTCCGGAATTCGACAACTAGCCAATGGAAGAATGTGACCCTTACAGATTAACTCGCACTTCAAAGAGTGTAACGAGAACTGTTGGATTCCAATGGATTTCAACGTTTACAACCGCAGCCACAGATCAAATATGCAACATACTGAAACACTTTCCTTGCGGAACTGTCCAATCAAAACATAAAATAGCATTAATAAGATTTGTAAGGTTTATGATAATACGGCCAAGTACTGATTATTATCAAAGGTAGAACGCTTAAGAATGTTACTAATCAAAGGTAGAACGCTTAAGAATGTTACCAGTAAGAGTGTGAAGTAATTGAGAAGCACAATAGAAAAGCAGGCACACGCATCATCATGGCAAGTGGAGCATATCCACATGACCACAGCTTTTATTACATACCGTACCACGCTCCCACACTTGACACAAACTAAAACTGTTTAGAAGAAGAGCAGCTGCAGAATTGGAAAATTCATGCTTGTCATCGATATGATAATCGCTTTAATGCTAGTAATCGTGAGCTCTCTCCGATGAATTCACGGACTGCCCAACGCACGTAGAAGTAAAACAGCATGGTTTAGCCAGGTTAAATTAAACTGAATGAATGAAAATAGAAAGTACATATAATCCAAGGCCAACGATAAAGGGCTCCCGAATATTAAATTGTGTTGATTTAATAAATTGGAGATGAAAACGCACGTCATTTGTAAATTTTCACTGGTCATGTGCACATTTTCGTTGCTACCTACATCCTTTGTCACGGACAGCATTTTCATATGATAATATGAAAAATTTCGAAACAGTTCTATTGTCAAGTCTCTTTCAAAGATTATTCCACTGATAATAATACACACTCTTGTCGTTGTAATGAGACGAAGATAAAAAATTCAACGATGTACAGAGCAATCGTCCGGACCGCACTTCTAACTGAAAGCGATGCACCGACAAGTTGTGCGCGACAACCACGTGACCAACTAGCGCCACAGCCGCGGCGCAACTGACGGTGCTCACGTGTTACGAACTCGCGGAGTGCCGCCGTGCTGGTGGTCATCTGCTAGCAGCTCCAGCAACCGCAAAGTATGCGTCGTGTAGCAACAGTGCGGCACTAACGGACGCCAAAAATGTGAACGTATTCAACGCCAGTTCGCACTGCACATTCTGCCTAAGAATGTAGCAATACACGTGTAACGCTTGTGTTGCACAGCGAAATCAATGGTTAATCAATGTGTTTTTTAGCGAAAAAACTCACGGCAGATTACATGCGGACGTTCGTCGGCTACAAAGGGACAAAATTTCGGCGTGAACAAATATGATGTTTCAATTTTTTTTAGATTTTAATCCAGGCACCTGATTCGATCGAAGGCGAGTTTGAGTAGGTACGTAATATCAGTGTCCATGTTAGGAATTCTGGTTATAAGAAAAGAAGTCTGATCGTATACCGAATTACTGAAATATTTTAAATTTCGGTTGACCACATCGCTGAATCAACATGACGCAGTAGCGAAGAAAAGTGGACGGAGAGAGAGAGAGAGAGAGAACATTCGCGAGATGAAGCAGAACTGAGGTGGGCGGAGGCTGTTGGAAAGCGCCGACCCGCAAGCGTTTGCGGCATCCGCCACTAAAGAGACGGATTTTCGCGCTTACACGGACTCCGAGCTGCATTACTATCATTTTTGTCGCCACGGGAAAGCTTAGGTCTATAAAAAGCACGTTCGAGTCTCCAAATCCCTGAATTAATCGAGCGCAAACAAATCCTTATCCGAAATAAATATCGAAAATGTCAAGATAATTGATAAATTTAAAAAGTCGTCTACAATTCTCCAACTATCGAGATGATTCTCATGGATCGTTTTTCCCCTTTATTTATATCTGGTTATATGTATGACCCAGAAGAGACTACTACACAAAATCGGAGCGCAATTTTTAAGTTGCATCGGCCAGCCGAGCTTGAGTAACACCATCGCTTCGTCTATTCTGACGTTACAAATTCTGATTACACGAGCTTCACAGTGTGGCTTGGAAGGCGCCGTACCGAGGTAGCAGAGAAATTGCTTTTAAGCTCTGAAGCCAGCAGCAATAGTGCGGTACACAAGCGTTAGCAATGAACAAAACCATCACTTTTATATAGTTCAATCCCGGGAGATGAAAATCCGGATGTAACAATGCAAAAAATGTTTATACATCGAATATAAGGATCGTTGAATACCATCACATTGAACTGTTCGTAAGATATCTTTTTGGAACATTTTGACTTGGAAAGCCAAAATGTTTGGCCAATTTAAATAGTCACAAACAATAAGCAACTTGAAGTGAGGCCAATGGCATGGCAAGACATCAGAATTGCTATGCCTCACATCCGTCAGGACACGTTTTACGACACTGAACGCTGTTTCAGCATCATTGACGTATTATCAAGGCGATAACTGACGTCTTGCAACACGCGCACGTGACGAACATGACATTCTCTTCAGAACAAAAGGTGAGTTAATGGAAAGAGGATATTAAAAGTCAACTGTGTTTTAATAATAAAGCAGTAAATACTGCACAAATTAGGTTCAACAGTTTGATTGTTTTCCATATTGTATATTTAGCAAACTCATTCTCAGCGTTAAAAAAACTAGCGTTCTCATATTCAAAAAGAGTAACGTAAAACTCCACGTAGTTATAAAGAATGCAAATAACAATGAGAGCACAATTAATTCCACAGATAAATGATGCAGAGATTTTGTTGACACGCACGGTAAGTCGAGCAGATGCGATCAAGCCTGCGTGTGCATGACCTCATACAGCGACGGCTGCTACGTAGTGAAACTTAGTCTCCTCCATATAAATAAGGCTGGGATCAATAGCGCCTCATTTGACGAGTGCATAAGTAGGTTAGTTATGCAGCTTCAAATTACTCGCAAATGATTCGCAGTCACGTAAACGAGGCGTATCAGAGCAGCAATATAAACTAAATCTGAGTCTTCGAGGCAAGTTACAAAATTAAAATTTCCAAAACCTACTAAAAAAATCGGCACGAGATAGAAATCTCCTGTGTGACAAGACATCGGTACAAAAAAAAAACTTGAAGGAGAATAGCTGCATGAGCACTCAATTGTAATTATGCTTGATCTGTCCTGAATAAAATGACAATTACTACTACATAGCTTGATAACTGCTACTAAGATGATTCATAATCATGACAATCCTATAGAGATTTAGATCAGCGTCGCGTAGCATGCTCAAATGACAATTATTTCTACATAGCTTGAGAACTGCTACCAAGATGATTCATAATCATGATAATATAATAAAGATTTTTATCTGGGCCGCGTCGCATGCTCCAGTACTCACTTATGCACTCGTGAACGGCGCTGCCTGCAGGCGCGGCCTGTGCGACGGCTGTCCTGAGGCTCTGGTTGTCCTTCAGCAGCTTGGCCACCTGCATCTCCAGCTCCTGCAGCTGTGCCAGCACCACAACACAATACATCAGGGTCCGAAGAATATCTTTTTTTTTTAATTCAAAATACAAGACGTACGATAGGTCATGTTTAATGTTCAAGTATTGTGCTCATCAAAATCAGGGCCCGTAGAATATATCTTTTAATTCAGAATACAAGAGGTGCGATAGGTCATGTTTCAGTATTGTTCTCATCTAAGCCTGAACAAAAGTGGAAATAACCTCAACACAACGGGTATGTCTGAAAAATGGTACACATCCCGAAAAGATATAACTGAATCAAATGGAATATGAATATTTGCTGGAATGCTAGAAATATTTGCTGAAAATAGAGTGCTGATAAATTCTATAACTTCTACAACTATCGCAACATAGCAGAAGAATGATTCCTAACATTAGCGGATTTGCAACGATGGCAGAGGTAGTAACAATAAATTTGCACATTGGTTAAAAATTACGTTCACTTTCAATTTCAGCAATGAAAAACAAAAGTGATACGTAGCGGACCAAGAATCTGTAGGCAGGAATTTTAGTCTCTAAGCTGAGGTTTCTTCAAGCGGATAAATGGATGGTAACTTATATTTACAACAGTTAGAGAAAAACGAAAAAGCGTTTATCAAGTCGTAGAATAGACAAAGAACCGGAATATCAAGAATGTTAGGCCAGAATTGTAGAAAGTAAAAAAAAATTTAAGTCAACACGTTCATAAATATTTTTAATTCAACATAATGAACCCTGAAATAAGACAAAATCTTCTGTAGGAAAATAAAAAATTAATTAAATATTTTTCTAAAATTTCAAAGCGGAAAGTTTCATGGGGCCGTGATAAGTAAGTGAACTCGGTAGATTTACATCGGAGCAAAGTGAAGAGCAATGCAAAACATGCCGGTCTTTCGGTTACAATACAGAGTAATGGAAGCTGAGAAAACTAAAGCTTTGTGCGATGTCATACCAGCAAGCGGAAGACAACTTCTACTAATAAGGTAAAATTGGCCACGCATTCATCCTGGAAAAATATTACAGACGGTAGGTAACTAACACGAGGTAGTATGCAAAAAGAAACCTTGCGTTTACCCTGATCATGTTCTGCGCATGCTGGCTCGAGTCTATTCCACAAGAGGCGTCGAACGGTATGGCTTCCAGAGACTCAACTCTAGCCGCTAGAGATTGATTGATCTGGCGAGCCTCCCTGAGTCTGGTCTGCAGCAGAAGTGCTACGCTCGCTTCCTGTATGTTGGGTCTAGCCGCTCGGGGCCCCAGACCAGACACGCTTGCGTCCACACGCTGGCGATAGCCCAGAGGAAAGTTACAGATGTGGGAAATGCAGGTTAACTGAAGCAGGAGATCTTTGGAAAAGTCACCGAAATACCCCCAAGTAAGAAAACGTATTTAATGTTAAGTAAAAAAGGAGGTGTCAAGGATGATTAAAATTTAAAGGTTTGCTTAGGTTCAACGGTGTTAGGTGCAATAAATACCCGAAATACCCCCATCGAGAAATTAATCAACAGTTTCCGTGACTAAGAACTTGAAAATGTACACGAGTGCCTCCTTATGATATAAAAATTCTGGCACACAGAATGTTCAACCAGAGTATTAATATTTGCATATGAATGGTATTGAAGATTGGTGCATAATGAAACCTATGCAATGAACCGTGAATTAAATTCTGGAAGATGTTGAGAAAAACATTCGTCCAATAGAACCCGCATTAACAAAAGGATTTGCTAAGAGGTCAATCACTGCAATTACATGTTAACTACTGGAGCATGCGGCTGACTCACCCTGTCAGGAGAAAGGGTGCCGTTGACGAGAGCCTCTCTGCCCACAGCAGCAGCTTGTTGCGCCGGGCTGCCCCATTCAATACCATCTAGAGGCCCGCGGGCACCGGACTCGGACTGATCACTGCCGCGGCTGCGGACGGAGCCGTAGCCAACGTCATCCTCCATGGCGACGGAATTCACGTCACACACGTCCAAGACGACGTCGGTGGTGGCATCGCTGTAGCCGCTCACGTTGCTTAGGCTGCTGGCTGCGCGCTTGTGTGTTGCGTGGCCCTTCAGGCGAGCAAGCTCAGCCTCGAGAGCCTCAGTCTTGGCTTCAAGAGAGAGTTTTTCAACGAGCAATTTCTGGTAAGCGCCCTTCTCCTGATCGTGCTCTAGCAACATCCTCTCCTTCTCAGCGGCTTGCTTCTGCTTGAGTTTCTCCTCGTTTGCTTCCTCTTTCTTCTCGATCAGCGCCGCGGACAATTGCTGAGAAAGCAGGGCATTTTCAGCGTTCAGTTTCTCAACGAGTTCTTTGTTTGCTTTTTCGGCGCGTTCCTTCTCATTCAACAAGTCCATCTTCTCACCACGCTCTAGGGCGAGTTGCTCTTCGAGGTTCTTAACGCGTTCCTCAAGTGAAGCAATGGTGTTCTTGGAGCCTTTGAGCTCATTTTCAACGCTCTTGAGAGCAAGCAACTGCACCTTCAAGTTAGCAGCATCTTCTGAAGCTTTACGAATGTTCTGATTTTCACGCTGTATTTCGGAGAGCTTTTGTTGAAGGCTGATGATCTTGTTCTCGAGACCCTTGTTGAGCTGCTTCTGGTGCTCGACACTCTTGGCCTGGACCTTGAGACGCTTGAGTTGACGACGGGCGAGGAAGCAGCGCACGAGGCCTTGTGTGGTGATCAAGCCGCGCACGATGCGCTGGTACTGACGCTCCTGCACCCAGCGCCGGATGTGCTTCTGCAGCACCACCGCCTGCAACACAAAAATTCCTTCAATTCAGCTTTCAAGAGGAAATAAATTAAAATCCCATATCACCAAATTATTTTTGCACTCAATTGAATTCTTAAAAAATACAGCGAACGCTGTGCTCCTTAACTTCAACGCTGTACTCCTGGAAGTAAAGTTTTTATTTTTTACAAGACTTCGGCAACCATTGTAACCAACAAGGTCAATTGACAAAGCTCAAAATCATTTAATATTCATTTCTAGACGATTGTAATAATAATAAAAAGAATACTTCTCATGTATAATTATGAATCTGACGCACTTTAAAGTAATACAAATCAACAATATAGCTTTTAGTCTAGCACTGACCGCGCGCTACCTCCTGGTTCGCTGGTAGCGCTGTCTAATACTAACAAAAAGAATACCTACTTCTCATCTAAAACTAGAAATGTGACGCACTTTAAAGTAATACAAATCAACAATACAGCTTTTAGTCTAGCACATACCGCGCGCTCCCTCCTGGCTCGCTGGTAGCGCTGTCGCGCCCAGAGGCCGCGAGCTCGCGCCTGTATCCTGGTGACGACCCAGCGCAGCCTCGTATATTTGATACGCGCCAGCCACCCGCGCACGTTCTTCTGCAGCACAACCGCGGCTGCCGTGCGCCGCATTCGCTCAGCCAGTCTGACGAGGCGAATTGAACTAATATTAGCTCATACTTTGGAAATTCATCAGTCAGCTATGTGATATCACCATTTTTAATGAGTAAATGAGTATCTCGATGATAGTCTTTCGAACATATTTGCAGGCTCAGTATGAACAATATCCAGAAACTTTTGCTAGCTTGATGTTCAAAATAAATTAACGGAGAGGCAACAAGATATCTACGGTAGCATTTGACACATATTTTCAAAACGAAATTCTAGAATTATTTCGTCACCTGCGAGCGGCGAGGCCTCTGGAGTAGCGCTGGATGGTGAGGGCAGCACGCCTGAGGGTGAGGTATTTCTTGCGATGTAAGTAGCCTTTGACGTTCTTCTGGATGATGATGTAGCAAGCACGCAGCTTGTCGGAGCGCTGCTTCTCCATGTACGCCACCTGACCGGCTCTGAAGAAGATCTTGCTGCGTCCAAACTTAAACTTGTCGTCGTCCTGCATAAGAAAATAAATGAGAATAGGAAATCATGGAGATTTGAAGTTCAAGTAACAGCTATTGATTTATTTTCAAAAACGATAAGGAATAGCAAGAGTAACTTATATGCCTAATATCACTGTTCATAGAAGAAACTGAAGGACCAATTAAAGGTCAAGAACAGAAGTAACACGTGTACGACTTGCACTGTACAGGTAACAATATCTTGCAATACCTACGCTGATAGTTTCAAACAATATCTTACGCTGATAATAGTTTCGACAATTTTATGACATGTAGCGCGCATGTCTGAGCGCTGAATGTGGCGACTATGGCACAAGACTCTGTACCGCGTGAAGAACTCCTGGTACGTCCACCTGCAAGAGCGGCGGCGAGCGTTAGTCATTCCATGTACTCTAAGATGTGATGCCGGCGACTTGCTTAGTTGAATTTTAATAATCTCATGCAAGAATATACACACAATTACATGAAATAACGAACTGAAAGCGTTTTTTTTTTAATTGAAAATAACGCATAAACTAATTTTGAAATGAAATTCTGTCAATTACCGACTTGAAAAATAGGATTTACGACTGGAAAAAAATGTGTTTTCCGAGTGAGAATCGTTAACTAGAAGGAATATGTGAGATCAGCAAATTTCAGATGACCTGGAGGGATATCCAGCAGCACTGATCCTGACGGTCTCGAGGACTCCACAGGCCCGCAGCTGTTGTATGGCCCGCTTAGGGTCGAAGGTGAACGCCTCCTTGTCGTCGTTGGGTTTAATGCAGCGCACGTAGTGAGGGGTCGTCGAGTTGAGCGTCTCCATGAGCAGCGCTAACGAGTTGCGAAACTGAGAGCCAACGGACTGCTTGGCGGTCTTGCTGCTCGTAGTCGCGCTTGGCTTGCCGGGGACGATCTTAAGCTTAGCACCGCCCGCAGGTTTAGCCGTCGCCTCGTTGAACAGTTGACTTACGAATGTGATCTGCGCAACATACATTACATGGTCGTTGGCGGCATTCAAGCGTATTTATTTACATTAATATTTCATATTATTTTTGCAGTGATTGTTGGGTAATTGAAAGCAATGAAGTGCATCGTAGCTAACAGATTATATATGGCCAAACATTCTTTGAATTTATTTAGACTCGTTTCCCCTGCACAGTTGCACCGTACATTATCTACAGTATCTAATTTTCGACATAACGCACCTTTTAAAGGAATATCATTCTAATGATATCGCATTTATCAGGGAGTTGTCTGTCGAATATATACCTAGCTAAGAAACGCCTTAGGCGACTACCGTGGCTGAGCGCCTTGATGCATCCTCTTAATGGACACAGTTTTCTAGAAGGAATTCGTAAGAGTTTCCCTTATTCAGACATCACTGTACTCACTCTGCTGGACTTAATGGTGGCGATATGGTCCTCGGACACGTGGTCTCTGTTCTTCTCGAGGAAGCCGCAGCTCTCGTAGATGACCTCGTCGGCGAAGTGGTGGATAATGAACGCAGTGCGCGACAGCCGGGGTTTGCTGAAGTGCTCCGCTGCTTTACATTTGTCGTAGAGCTTCTCAACCCACGACTGGTCTGATCCTCGTGGCATCTGAGCAAAGCAACCATAGAGTTAAGCAACATTACCATGTAGTTGAACAATTAGTCCGGTAAATGATTAAGTTTCATCTAGAGGATTATAAAAGGTATCACCATCATAAAAAATATTCATGTATACAAAAACCAATATTATAAATCCTAACAAAATGGAGAAGAAATAATTCATATAAGACTGTAAATCAATTATAATTAACTAAACATAATAGATAACATAATAATTAAAGATAATAAATTAATAATTGACTGACCCGACACTCCTCATCGAGCAGGTCTAGTATGCCCAGCTTAGACTCGATGAGGTTTATGCAGGGTTGATTGTCATAGAAGTTGATGAACTCCCACTCTATCTGCTCCTTGACGTACTCCTCCTGCTCCAACTTGAACACGTGCTGCACAACGTAAAGCATGTTGCAAAACAGTGGATTTATTGACTTTCTATTAACGCTTTTTTATTTCCTTTATATTTCATGTTATATCGACAAATTTCTTGGTAGTAATGTTCGGGGCGGAGAAAACTAAGGAATTAATTTTGAAAAACGTGAAATGATCACACCATGCAAGCTTACAATTAATAATCGGGCGTGAAAATATTAAAATACAGACCTGGTTGAATTGCTGTTGAAGTTTCTCATTAGCGTAGTTGATGCAGAATTGTTCAAAGCTGTTTATCTCGAAGGTCTCGAATCCATAGATGTCAAGCACTCCGATGAATCTGTTAAAGAAGCATAGATAAAACTAATTATTGATCTCTTAAGATGCATCCTGAACGACGCGTTATATGTTATAAACCGTACATTCCCAGAAACGTTTACTTCTTCTATCACTTGACGACAACATATTCTTTGAAGGATTTGACAAAGAGAAGCGTGCGGAACGAAACCAAAGAATTAGAATTTCCACACCATTTCCACACCTGGCCGAATGGTTTAGAATTTAGATAACCTTGTGGCGGAGTAAGTTGCGAGATCGAGACCCGCAGTTGTGAAAATTCTGCAATGTCTACAGGCGGCGATAGGCATGAACTGGCCTAATTTTCGAAACTAATATTACAATATTAATATAATATTCATGTCTAAAAAAGCCTCTCGACGTAGGTATTTGAGATATTCTTTAACAAAATTCATTTATCATCTAGTCTTGATCTTTCAAAAAAAAATGATTAATTAGGAGACACTGGACATTGAACTAACCTGAATGGTGTGTGGGAGGAACTGAAACATTTGTTGATCTGCTTGACGATCCAAGCAAACACCTGCGCGTAGATATGCTTCGCCAATGCGTCGCGGTAAAACGTTGCCTGCAGAAACATCACATTTATTTGAATAGAACAATAAAAGCTTAGTAGTCCAAATTCAAATAGATGAATGCTAACTTTTCCCAAATGACGCCCCGTTCAAATGGAATGCAACAGAAAATACAGCAAGTAACTTAACTCTAGGAAATCAGTATGCAATAGTCGGACGTGGACCTTGTTTGGCAACATTTACAAGTACAAATTGCGCAAGGCAAGTGAAGTGCAATCATAATTTAAGTGAAGTGCAATCATAATTACTAGACAGTATGGAAGGATATTACCTAGAACATTTAGCAAAGAGATGCCTGACCTGCTCAGCAGTGATGGGTTTTATGAAGACCTCCCCGCCAGAGACAATCTTGCGGTGACACAACCACTTCCTGAGCTCCTCCTCCGACACCTTCAGCAGGGAGCACACCACGGGCAGCGCCATGTCGTCTACCTGTGCCGGGTAACGGTGATACTAATGTACACATAATTCTTATTTAAATGGCGGAAAACCACGCAACACATTCATTATTGATCAAGCATTTAATGTCAGATACGACACAATGAGCATGGTGTTATGAATGGGGCAAATATTCCTCAAGAGTTAAGATCCAAGGGGAATTTCTACAATTAAATCTTTGTCTCAGTGATATGATGAGTTAAGGCCAAAACCAGCGCAGATTATTCCTTCCCGACTTCTAAACAGGATAATAAACTTTCTCTCATTACAAAACCAGAGATAAATGTAAATATTGTAGAACAATAATAAGCCGGTAAACCAAAAACAGCGCCGTAGACTTTATTCGAAAAATTTGTGGAAAAAACGGTTGGACCGGCGTTTAAGCAGCCGTCGTCTCGTGAAATTCGACCAGGATGTTTCCTGTTTCATATGTTAGCTTTTCAAAAAAGGTAAAGTTTTAATTCCCCAGACAACCGGCCACTAAAACACCGATCTGACTGTTTCTCACCGTTTTCTTTCGAACAGACCGTATCATTTATTCATGAAGAGCTCTACGACTCACAGGCACGGCGCAGGAGTCAGCCGATGTCTTGACGAGTTCCACGTTGCCGAGATGCAGGATGGCAGCGAGCACAGTAAAGACTGGTCGCAGCGCCTCGTCTTGCAGCCCCAGCAGCGCGAGCGCCTTACACGTCTCCTGGAAGTCCGCGGCGTCGTCCACGCCTGTGATGTTGGCGCTGTCGCCCTGGTTCAGGTAGCTGAACGAGTCTTGAGAAGCTGGCGACATAACACAGGGTCAGATATTGCATTGTAGTGTCAGGGTAAATTGAATAAAATACATTGTGACAGACCAAATAAAAACAGTGCACGTAAATTTTGAAGACACCCTTTTTTTACACTTTGAGTGCACCACAGAGATTTTATGGGAAATCGCCACTTGAGTATTTTACAGCTACGAAAATGTGGCAATACAGAACAACGTTGTAAATACATGATGAGTAAAAGACAGAATAACGTAGCAAGCAGAGAAATGAACCACTTAGTAAGCCAACAAATAACGGAGTTACAGCAACGATATAGAAAATATACAAGCAAGCTTTACACAGAAGCAGTACACAATACAACGAGATATGCAACGGTATCATACAAAGATGAAGACAGGATAACTTTTTAAAGAACACTAAGCACAACACAGAAAAAATGACATACAACAACATAAGTAGCAATCTACACAATAGAAACGTGCTCAAAGTTACAAGTGAACGAAACCCATGCACGAAAATAATGAGCTGAAGCAAACTAATCTCGCTCGGCATCGCGCGATGAAGCCACATGCAGAACTGGCAGGCAGAACTTAGCCACACAGAACTTCATAGACAGCAGAAAAAGCCGCACACAGAACAAAGCCGAACACAGAACAAAGCCACACACAAAACAAAGCCACACACAGAAATATGCCACACACAAAACAGGCAGGCAGACCTAGACGAGGGCGAGCCTGGCGCACGCAGGAGCCGACGTCGCCATGACGGAGATACACGAAGAGGCCAGGGTCTCCTAGAGGCATCACGGCGAACTTGGTTAGTTGTTAGTTAGTGCAGGGCAAACGCCCAAGCCACTTACAGGGTTAGGTGATGGCAAATTGACGTGTTAATGAAGGGACTGAGGATGATGTATGACTATTGTATTAACTGATTTACCTAAATGTTATTATTGGAGCGAATTTAACTTTTAAGAGAGAGTTCCAGGCTGGAAATACTAGTTGTGAAGTGCGCTTGTTCATCAAGGGAATTCACCGAAACTGGTACATACTAATGAGATAAATTCCAAGACCGAGGTATTTTTCGGTATAATCCCAGAAAATTAAATTTTATCATCCAATAGGGAAGATTAGTCCAGTAGGTAACATTTTAAAAATTATTTGCATGCTTCGAAAGTCACAGCGATGAACAAGATGTCCATGCTGAGCTTTCAACACAGGCAGAACTTGGTAAGCCACGAACATTTAAAAAAATTCGAAAAAGTTAGTGCTAAGGCAGGCAACTGCGGAATAGCCTAAAAAGGCTGCCTCAAACACGACGGTTAATCATGGGATTGAAATTTAGTTATTATTAAGACAAGAAACAATCGGGTCTAACCAAGAGCCTTGAAGAGTCCCACATGAAGATGAGATGAAACTGACACCTGTTGAGAGGAGACGATCTATATTGCAACAGTTGAGTTCAGGGGCAGTACTATCAAAAATAGCTTCGAGTTTGTACCTTAGTAAGAGTAAGGCAATCTCTGATGACATCTCAAGCCAAACCAAGCAAACATAGACAAGAAATCAACCGTTGCGGGTAATTAAACGAGTTTTTAATAGTACGACCCCAGTCTGCTAGTCGTGGTGCATCCAAGAGAGATGCTTGCCCGAAAAAATATGTTGCATGCAGTATCACTGCGATAGTTATTGAGTATAATTAGAATATCAAGTTGTTACTATCAGAGAGAATACCTGGTTATTTAGTAATTGGTAATCTACACAAGACACTTAAAAAAAACGCTACATAAGTTGAAGATTTATCTGAAATTAATCAACAAGAATACTATGTACACATATCCTGTACACATATTCTGGCGACTGTTAAGCTGTCAGTTCTATCTATTTGAAATAATAACAGCCATTTGCTGAGTTAACAACCATGAGGAGTAGAGCGGCTGAGCCACGAAATCTTGGCAAGGAATTGAACTCAATTGAAACTTATGATAAACTAACCCAACTTGAGCCCAGCCAATCTGGGGTCATTCGCAGATGAACACATCTGGTAGAAGATGTGGTAGTTCCTCTCGCCGGGAGCCTGGACAGAACAACAACCATTAGATCAATACAACTATAGGCAAATGAACGACTGACTCTTAAAGATTTCTATGCAATAACGACGATGTCATGAGTGAAGTTTTGACTACTGAGATAAAAAACCAAGGATCAACAATCATGAATAACATCACAGAATGAAAGACGAGAATATCAACGGAGCAAAACGAATATTCGCAATTAATATCTTTCTATTACATAAATAAAGAGCACAAATTTGCAGAGATATTCAATTCATTCGCTTCAACCTTGAGTCATTAAAACGAATATATATATAAAAACTGTAAATGCTTTCCTTCTGGCACACGAACATGGCTGGTTGCCGTTCGCAAGATTAGACAAGTATTCATACCTTAATTAAGACTCACCTGGAAGACCACACGCGACTTCTCCAGCAGGTAGGTCCTCATACTAGCACCAACAATGCTGTACGCGCTGCTGAAGTGCAGCTCGATGTACTTGCCGAAACGCGAGCTGTTGTCGTTACGGGTCGTCTTGGCGTTACCTATTGCCTGCAAAATTATGGTATATTTTACTATTAATTCAAATAATGGTATTATTCACTCATTCGTTAATATTCATTATTCAATTCATCATTCATTAAGAAACCTTATTAAAATTATTATTCATTAATCTTTCATTTAATAATTCTAATGATAGGTAGTGTTGCCTTTATGGTAAGATAGCGCAAACGTAATGGAAACTCGAGAAGCTCTGATCAAAAACATTAAATTCAAGCCAGTACAGGGTACAACAAGAGTAAAAGTTTTACGTTATATGCATTAAGCATATCCAGAATATAATCTCCAATTAAGGAACCACACAGTCAATTGTTACCTCCATGATAGGATTAGAAGCAAGGATTTTTTTCTCGACTTGAGTCTCGTCGGAAGAGCCCCCGACGCTGGCAAAATATCGCATGGCGTATTTGGCGGACACCGTCTTGCCCGCACCGGACTCGCCCGACACGATGATGCTCTGGTTCCTGTTCTCCCTGCACGCCACAACAAATGCCTACTCAGATAGAGACAACGCATGCCAAATGTGCAATGTAAAAATGCCTAATGCAGTAATGCTTAATGTAGTAATGCGTTATGTGAAATGTAGTAATGTGGAATGTAGTAATGTGAAATGAAGTAATGTGGAATGTAGTAATGTGAAACTTAGTAATGTGAAATGTAGTAATGTGGAATGTTGTTGTTGTGGTTCCCCGGTCTCACTTTTACAAGAGACCCCTAATGTGGAATGTAGTAATGCATAATGCATTAATGTGAAATGTTGTAATGAAATATAACATCAAGTTACGTGTGCAACAAGTGAAAACAATTTAGATACTCAGCCAAAGTCAACGCATGTGGAGAGTAGTACTGAAAGATAGCATTAAGCGTATTGTGCAACAAAGTGATAGGTAAAAATTTTGTGAAATTCAATCTAACATTAATCCTAATGGGGAGAGAGTTTTAAATGTTTATAAGTACCTATAATCCAGAGTTTCTAAAATACTAAGTCCGTTAAAAAACGATTAAGCAACAGTCTGTGCATGATCAATCAACAATAAGAGCAGCAATACGACAGTATCCGGTCAATCTAAAAAGATCCGGTCAATCTAAAAAGATCCGGTCAAATGACACGATTTTAGATCTTCTGTGAACAAGGCACGAAAGGAAAAGAATCGGCGACAGGCCCCATCAGGCCTACACTTCAGCGCCGAGATCACTTTGTTATGTTATGTCATGTATCTCAACAACAGAGGAGGCGCACCGCTCCATTTTAGTATAGGCCTCCTCGGCGACGGCGAAGATGTGAGGGTCGAGCTCGCCCATGTTCTGGCCGCGGTAGGCGTGGATGTAGTCAGGGCCGTAGATGGGACAGTCCTGGTATGGGTTGATGGCCACCAGCACGATGCCTGCACGCACAGTAACCATCATTAAGATTCATGTTGCGGCACAGAAGAAAGACAATGGAAATGTAAAGAGAAGAACTACGGTGAAGTATGACAACGCACGTTATGTAGCACGGCATTTAACCACTCAACGGACTTCGTATATTATTTAGACTGAAATGTAAAGAGAAGAACTACAGTGAAGTATGACAACGCAGGTTATATAGCTCGGCATTTAACCACTAAACGCACTTGGTATATTATTTAGACTAAAATGTAAAGAGAAGAACTACAGTGAAGCATGACAACGCAGGTTATATAGCTCAGCATTTAACCACTCAATGCACTTGGTATATTATTTAGACTGAAATGAAGTACTCACCGCAGTAGGTATAAATGGTAGACTTGTTGGCGAAACGGACTTGCAGGTTGTGAAGCACGGCAGGTTCGTGCAGGTAGCTGAGGGAAGTTAGGTCGTTTTGACCCTCCAAGATATCGGGATTGCGGAGAGGTGGCAAGTCGTCTTCTGTCGTCACCACCACAGTACGACTCTGTGTTCAGGGAAGAGTTATTATGCAATGCGGACAGGTTAATTAAATGCATGTTATTAATTAGCGTTGATGCAGATACTGCTGCATTGCTGGGCGTCTGATTGCTGCTCTTATTACTTATTGTTACTGCGCAGACTGTAGCATGGTTAAGCGACTTATTGCGGCTGTAATTACTCATGTTATGTAAGGTCCTCGAGTTACAGCTAAAAATATCATTCAAAGGTGCAAAGTTAAATCTTGACACGTATGTACCTCAAACAAGTGTTATATGCCCGTAAATTTGAGGTTCATTTGAAAATTAATGAAGATTTCTGGACAAAATTATATCAAAGCTGTTGTATGGATAGGTATTGGTAACATAGTCAGTTCAAGCTTCGGTACTACTAAATACTTCGACTTCTCTTGCGAACAAGTTAAATAAATTTTGGTAACGTTGGACAGAAGTTAATGCTTCGGTACCTACCAAATATTAAAAAAATGAATAAATAACAAATAAAAATAAATATACAAGAATCCCTATGGAACAGACCTGCGTGTGGACGGCGATGGAGATGGTGGCCGGCAGGGGCGGTGATAAATAACGATTAAAAATAAATATACAAGAATCTCTAAGGAACAGACCTGAGTGTGGACGGCGATGGAGATGGTGGCCGGCAGGGGCGGACAGTCTGCCTCTAGGACGCCACACACCCACACCGCGTCGTCGTCGGGCAGCCATACCGACGCGCCCTGAACACACACATGTACGCACGCTTCAATTAATGGACTCATCAATTCCATAGTTGAATTGAGTGCATCAAGTGAAAAACTGCATTAATTTAGGGACAAATTTGAGGAGTCGTTAATAAACGAAATCTCGTGTTGTTGGAGCTAAAATAAATAAATAATCAATAATAGAGGGGCAGGAGAAATTTCGAATTTGATCTAAAGTGCGCACTGCCCTTCGACAATATGCAAAGAGTTAATTTCAAGTCAGAAATTAACAACACACAAAGTGCATACATTATAAAGTGCTTATATACAGTATATATTAGGTACATCAAATAGTTATTCAATTAAACTCGGGCAAGCCGTATTATATTGCGTGTTATAGAAATATTACCGGATTTTCTCACATAAAAGACGTGTTCGCCGCTAACGACGAATCCAATTGATTAGATACCCTTTTTAATAGGATCTCTTTCATGGGCATGTCGCTTGAAATTTAGTTGAACGCAGAAATTTTTTTACACGCAAAAGGATATCGAAAAGCTATTGAGATTAATTCATAACCAGTATAAATAAATAACATAAAAAAAAAGCAAATGAGTCCAAAGCAAACGCGTAATCCCTCGTCGACCACCACAAGCACGCGCATCCATCTATTGCACTCTGCGGTGAGTGCAAGACATGAACACTAAAGAGATAAACTTGTATTAGCTAGACTAGCCTTAAAAACATAATATTATTAATAATATTAATAACAAACGGTATTTTGCCAGCGAGAAATAAAGACAAGAATACAAACAATATTCCAGTTCCACGCTTAAGTGAGCTGCTTGGCGAGAACTCGCAATGCGCAAAACAGATCGTTTTTTAATCCGCAGTTCTCATAGGAGCGGACTTCCGAGCACCACACAAGAACCTAACCATCCTGTAATTAAGACACTGCTCAGTCCTTCATTTAAGCGCACGATTCAAGCAAGAGAAAGAAAGTATTCGAAGTGAGTTGCGCGGCATGCAGACAGAGAGGAGCTGTAATGCATGCCCATGCTGCTGATGCTATCGCGGCGCATGCGCCGTCTAGCAGCACTGTCACTTTCGATGAGGTGGCGCGGGCACTCCGCAGCGCTGGAGAGAAAACCGCACGCTCGGCAAGAGAAAGTGTCAGGGAATACAGCAGTACAGTGTAATAATCTATACATTTATTTGAATTTCATTGGCAGCCCAACCATTGATTAAGAATATGAATAGATTATCATGCGTGAAGATGAATGATTAACATTAGTGAATGTCAACTGAGTGCGATGTGTTTACTTTATTGGCACTCGTGGTCACTCGTCGAATAAAAATATTTCTAAAATGTAAATAAATAAATATGAAATATATAGGCGTCGGCGCCTTGTTTCATTGATGCGAACTAAGACCTGAACAAGTCCATTCAATTAAATTCGTTAGGTATTTATATTTTTCAATATATTAAATACACGCAGAGGTGAGCAGTAGCGCGCTACATGTAGCGGCCGCTACATTTTCAGCAGCGATAGCGGTAGCGGCGCTACATCTAAGGCAATGTAGCGGTAGCGCCCGCTACATATTTAAGTAGCGGTACGAGGCTTTGCCGCTACAACGCTACCGCTACATTTATAGATAAAGCCTTTAGATTTTACTTAATAGTATTAAATATTATTTAAAAACCAGTATGATACATACATAATATAAATTACAGAATAAAACTGTACGAAAGATTTCGGTGCAATGTTGTCAATCTCAGGCTGTTGCTAGTGTCAACATGTTAGTTGTTACTTGTTAAGTTGTTACCAGTTACCACTTGTTCTTGTTCCGTGCCAGCTGCCACCACATGTCCACGACCACATCACGGACATCAGCCACCTAACTTCACTTGGCTGACAGCGCTTGTAAGGTGTTTTTGTGTCGCCGTTCGTGTGCGTTTCCCGGTGTGTTAGGAACTTAGGGGGTGGCAACTGCCAGGTTTTACCACTGGATTTGAAAACGGTTTCTAGACTATCTATGTATGCCAAATAATTAGTATTTTCGTATGTACTTAAAATGAATAAATATATTACTAAGGCCGGTCGTTGTGCGTCCAGGGATAAAGATGATGAAGTAGTATTAGAACATGAAGATGCAGAATTGCAATTGTCAGAGGACGAGGAGCCATCAGTGACAGTGTCTATGTCAGTCGGCTCACCTACTAAGGCTAGTACAAGTATATTGTACTAGCCTTAGTATTGTAGCGGCTAATGTAGCGGCGCTACATTTTACTGTAGCTGTAGCGGTAGCGCCCGCTACAATCAAGTGGGTGTAGCGGTAGCGCCCGCTACATTTAGAGCATGTAGCGGTAGCGGTAGCGCCGCTACATTTCAAAGTAGCGCTGCCCAGCTCTGAATACACGTCACAATGATCACATATTACTTTCGCATTTCAATTTTGGAACGAGTAGAGAATAGCCTTCAAAATATCATTCACGTCTAGTGCGTAATTCACGTCTATCCGCATGTGGAAGGTGCGGAGGTAACAGAAACCTTCGTAAATATAACTGCGTGCTCAAATGATGACCAACGACTGTCATGCTTCACCAGCCACGCTAGTCTGAGGCAGCTAAACCACTCGCTCAACTCGAACTGCCATGCCCAGGACTGACGTATATTGCAGCGAGGAGTACCATTACACAAGTCGTGGATATATTGCGTACAAGATTATTGAAATAATAACACATTATATATTCTCATTTTCTAATGAAACTAGACCTCAAATGGAACTTGGAACCATAATCATGTCATTCCCGGAAATCAAAACTAAGTTGAGCAAATTTTTCATCAACAGCAAAAATTGAAACATCGATAAGCTCATCAAGAACAAAAAATAACCAGAAATACCACGCGAGAGGGTCAGCCAAATTATGCAAGAAATGATGAAAGCGTATTGGTATGACTGGACTAATGCGAAACCCGCTTGCGATTCAGCTGTAAAAACTGTTGTCAATAGCGGCGTCATATTGCGCTGATAGATGAAATGTCTCCTCTTAGATTAGAGGTACTGGTTAAGATAGATAGAACGTGATTATGAGAGTAGCCGATCAAACGCCAATCGCCGAGGATTGGGAACTTAAAGATAGAAACGAATGAATAATTCAAAGTCACTGTTAGCGAATCAATTGATCTCATAAACGTAAAATTACGCCTGAATCGCTTCTCATTTTGTTCGGGAATTTATTTAGTCACTAAATAATCAGAGGTAACGACTAAAACTAGTATTGAACGGAAATGAACGCCTTCAATGCTACTCAACATCCATTTGTGAAGAAAAATTAATGGGTCATGTTTTCCAAATGGTGACTCACTTTTTGCACGTAGCACTGATACGCCCTTCTGCCGGGTTAAACCGAGTCTTGATGACCCGAAAATTAGCAAAAAGTGCATCGCTATTAGGACATCGGAATCTGCACATGACCTAAGACATGACTGCACATGATCTGATACTAAGATGATAATATGACGATAACCTAGCAATACTAGGACATATTCATGACTGCACATGACCATTAGGACATGACCTAGATGACATCTGCATGAGGCTGTCATGGAACCGACTTAGTCTTAGCAACATTAGGACACTGTCCCACTAATTTCTCTGAGCGGATGGATATCACAGTTCAGCAGAGGCGTTTCCAAGCTCTGACTGCCTGAGTTTCCCTTCACTGCAGACACAAGCGAGTTCCTGACCTCAGTTGACACCCACGACGTCATCGGTGAGGCTGCAGCTGGACACAGCGTATGAACGCACCTGTTCATACTACCGCAGTCATACTGAATGCATTAAATCATAGTGAAGCTTAACTCGCACATTTTCATGTTCTTCAGTACATCAAATGATTGCTTTAAAATCAAATTTGCTAGTTGCCCACTGCTCCAATCAACTACCAATTATTCTAAAAACATTTGAAATGAACCCCCCATAAAGTTTACCAATGACAAATCAACTGAATGAAACACGCGAATTAAATTTAACAAACCATGAATTTCCGAATCAGAAATAATAAAACAACAGCATACACTAAGCACTATGCCTTAGCCATGTGTATGGAGATGCGAGGTTTGTATTCAGAGGAAACTATCACAAATTAAGATGCATGCACGACGCCATCAGAATTGTTGGCCAGCAGCTACTATGAATGAAGTATAAATAGGTAATAAATCTAACCTCGGGAGGCCCAAACAATAGACATTTAACATAGCAACACTTGATAGAGGCAGGACTCAGCTGTGGTGAGGAAATTAGAATGCCGCACGCAGCGAACACTAATGCAATATAACCTATTTAAAGAATTACCATAGCTTGATTGTAAACGAACACAACGAATGTGCTAAAAATAAGTGAAATATAATTTTATTGGAATAGAGGCCCCAATAAAAATGGTAGCTACATGAGTTCAGATATTGTGCATGATACAAGAGCCACGTGGATGGTCGTCAATAAATAAGAAGACAAGAGATGCAGGAGAGCTTTATCAGTTGCTCTATCAGCGCTTAGACTAACACGCATATGCCTATTCTGTGAATAATTTCTTCTTGTGAAAAATGGCGTATTTTCTACTGAAATATAAAAACATGGGCTTTTAATTGTTACTTAGAAATTTTGTATTAATGATACAATATTTCCATGGGAACTATTTAGGTATCGAATGCGAGGTTTATAGTCTGATTTGAAATAAAAAATACATCATGTGCTGCCACAAATATAATTTCGAATTGAAACATTCATCTCTATTTGCGCAAACAACGGGCAATAAATTTTTAAATAACACTTCAAAAAGTTTTCAATTACACCATAACGAGACTAGGAACAGTAATTTATATCAATGCATCAATTTGTATCAATCAATATTCTGTGACAAAAATAAGCTTTTAATTAAGGGTTTCACCTGACCGCTCTTTACGGCTTCATGCGTTGCAATTCAAAACATTCAACAGTACAGATTCAAAACACCAAAAAAGTCTTAGAACGCCTCATGAAGCCGGTCCGACTCTCCCAACGCTCATTGAAATGAATGATGGTTTGACAAAATAGTGATGCACTTTTTGGGCTCATGAGGTCATTTTGACCCACTTTGTCCTAACAGAAAGACGTATCATCGATAACCTAGTCCGTATAGATTTAAAGGATATTACTATCAGTACAAAATATCGTATTCTCAGCGTGCGGAAGACAACTACACGTGTTGGAGCGTAGCTATTATACCGGCCGCGAGTCATACACATAACGGACATGATGGTGGCGGCACCGCATGAAGCACCTCCAACAGCTGTATATGTTCGATCGCTGGTATAAAGCGCCGCCCGCAGTGACGAATAGAGAGGTTTTTAGCTCCACCGGAAACTGTTGCCATAGCAGAGGTGCGCAGGAACTAGGGCTCGCGGGTGAACACGCGTGTTGAAGACACGATTTAGATTGGTAAAATATTCTTAATTCACAGGACATCGTACTGCCAGCAATTTCAAACAGTAAAAGAAGTAATATTGGGAAACATAAAACGAACTTGGGCAATCCGTAGTAAGCATAACAAAAATAGGCTGCATTAAAGAATATTGACAAAAACTTTCTCTTGCGTGGACAGATAACATTACTCTCATTTTCTATTTCATCCAAAAATCTATATAAAAATACCAGCGCAGTAATCGAGCGAATTTTTTGAATTTGAACGGATTCTATAGAGCCAAAACCTCGTAAAAGAAACACCAATGAATAGACTTCTCTTACAGCCTCGAGACAAAGAATAAGTTTCTGCCCTCTTAATTACAGGCTCTACCAAGACATGGCGCTCAGCAGCAGCGAAAGAAGAGAAAGCTTCTTCCGTTGCTGGAATACAAAGCCATCAAACTGAGGTACTTGCAGATGAGCCCTGGTGTGGCATCAACAATGCGGGCCTTTAATATATCATCAATAATATGTTATTATCAAAATAGCAGATAAATTTCACAGGTAGCGACACTTGCCTGGCATTGATATGCGGAGACAAGTTAAAGCATAGAAATATATCTGTCAAAGTTAGGTTATGTATTGAATATTCAATTGTAAAAATGTCGGGCATAACTTATTTTAGAAATTGCAAGAGCTGGATGATATATCTAACGGAATTTTCGACAAGGAATTAGGATAAATTGAAAGATTTTTATCAGAGGCAGGCTTAAATAATTTATTGCCGTGACCCAAGTCGGTCATAGCGAATTGGATAACCACTGAGCCATTGACTGAGACGAGCATCAATACGTCGACTTAACGCTCACAAAACTGGAAGTCGTACTGTAATACCGGTCACGGAATGACCCCCAAACACAGATATGCACAATCACGTTGCCGTCATTATCGTATTGGGGACACCTAACGCGGCAATAATCAACGATTATACACGGCGTTGATACCGTGCATATAGTGTCATCAATGGCGATTCCGTTAAAATTAGATTAAATAGCGTGTGTTGATGAGCGAGCCTCACGCCGAACAATGCAGTCATCCTTTTAGTGCAAAGATTGTGACTTATGAACAAATTCTGCATTGGTAACAGTGTTCAACAAACAATTGTTTTCGGATAAATCACATTCATTCAAGTATATTAGTTCGACACAAACCCGCACAGCGACCAACGGCACGAAAATTTTTAAAGAACCAGTGCCACTTCATGATGTAAATCTATTCGCACAGCAAATGACCATGCAAGTGAGAAAAATCTCCAGTCCAAGCACGCAGAATTGCGCAACAACGGAGCTGCATTGCTCGAGTAACGGCGGTCATTCCACCAGACCGAGTCACCCGTGCACGCATCGTGCTCCGGAACAACACGTCTGCAGCTTCAGAGGTTTTGGCAAACTCACGCTTCTTCTTTTAACAAATTGGCCCTAAAAATCTAGGCTTCTTTTACACTTGGCGTGCATTACCATTTAAAGACCAAGAATGGTAACAAACGGCATTAACAGCACGGTTGAGATGTGCAAGATTTTCGCCGAAAAAGGTGAGCAGCAACCGAGTTGCCCAACAAAAGAAAGTAGTTCAGAGCGCCGAGGTCGGGCAGACGAGCAGCGTCTGGCGCCCAATCACGCGAGATATTATTTGTTGCAAGTGGCACGCAAAAGTCAACACTCAGTTGACATGCAATTATGTGGCAAAACTTGCTGCCATCTCGGAACATGTTCAAGAGGCAACGCCACTGGCACAAAATTATAACATGAAGCTAATTAAATTTCATTAATTAAATTTCAACCCAATCCCGGTTGGAATATAATTTACAATACTATCTCCTTGAACTGCCAATTTATAAATTATTATTTGTGTCGATACGCGCAGGAGCAAACCTTTCGTCGTAATAAAATATCAGTATGATATAATACGACGATGTTAGAGTTGTGTTATTCATAAGCGTGTTGGTATCAACAGACCAGACGTCATGACTCACGCTGCAGCTGGCAACATAACGCTAGTCACGTTACCCTGACTCATACCAAACAACGGCGATAACGCATGCAGCCTACATTACAACTACAGTCCCATGCAGGCCCCATGCCAAAGTGGTACATCCACTGCATGCAGGAACACCTGGCAGAGTACGATGCGTTGCTATGCATTGAGAACAAAGTAAATCTGAAACGCTGTCAGCTCAATATAATTGGAATTAGCAATAACGCACGACGCTGTAAACGAGTTTCAGAAATCGGCATTCGTGTGAGTTCATCCTTAGGACGATATTACAAATAGCTCTACACAAGAGCCTCAAACCGCCTTCTTACAAAGTTTTCCCGTCAGACAATTTAGTGTCGATCATAAAAACAATTGGGCCTTTCCTGAATCACATCAGCACAAGAATTGGCTGAGAAGAAAGTTCATCATCATAACACATGAATTAAAGGCAAGATAAATGGAGGGGCTGGAAATACTTATGGAAGAATAATTCAGATTATAAATTTGTTATGAGAGTGAACAAATATAAAATAAAAGTCCAAGGATTTCCTAGGGGTTAGATAGAACGTATTAATTGATTAAAATAAATTCATTATCAGTCTACTCAGAAACAATTTAGTTTTCTCACAAGTTTATTTAGTTTAAGAATTTCTCACAAGTTTTCATAAATTGACTGCTGGATCCTGAAAGACTTTTGACCATTAGAACTATTAGAATCAAATCAGTCTATTCTTTTAAGTCTCATATAGGTAGGTATACAAATCAAATAAAAACAATCAGAATCAGGGATTCTGCCCAATACTAGCTTGGCCTTATATACCATAGTCACCAAAAATGTACTGTATGCACCTTACAAACTGTCAGATCTTATAAAAATTTGCTCTGCTGAATGACTCTTGTTCGTAGTGCAAACCTGGGTCTATATACATAAAATTGAGGCAAATTGGGCACATTAGAAACTCGGCACTTTCAGCATGTTAAAAATGTACTTGAGACAACCTTAGATAAGTTTGTTAGGAAGTGACCAGGTCACAGGTGTGTAGGTGTGGTGCCTAGCCCATCCAAAAAGCCAAAATATGACATTAATGAAAGTTTAACCCATATAAACCAAGTTAACCAACTAAGGGTAGTGATAGTGATTAGTTCATTAAACACTTTTATCCAGGCATTAATGAACAATCACAATAATGAAACCAAAAAATACTGTTCCTAATTGAGTAATTGCCATTTGTTTTCTAGATTGCTACATAATAGCTAAAAAGCCAAGTTTTTTAACAAGATAGATAATTTTTTGCAAGGGCAGCAACATAAATGCTGAGAAAAAGTTAGTGGCTTAACTGGTATTAACAATAGAGTAGACCTTTTCCACACAATAATAGTACATAGGTTATAGGTAAAGGGAAATTTGAAATTACTACCTATCAAAATTATAGAAAACATTTCTAATATTGGTCATATCATATCATTGTAATGTTTAGTTTTCAATGCCTAAAAAGTTTTTTAGAACCTAACATGTTCAAGGTTAGTATCTTCAATCTGCAATCCAAGCATATTACAATTTAGCATACAGTTTAATCAAATTAGCCTAATGTTATTGTAGCCTATTGACAATTGACATCAAAAAAATTTTTATTATAATAATAAAAGCCTTTTTTTAAGGTAATGGCGAATTTACAATTAGAAGTAATCAACTAAACTTCTCAAGTAATCAACTTTACTGCTATTTCTATCTCTAAGTTTGGTTGAGACAGACAGTTTGAGTCAGTCAGTCAGTTCAAGTTGACAGTTGTCAGTTGAGATTTGAGAGCCTGCTTCTGCTTGAAGTTGATTGAACATGTCACATCGTCAAACGGTTATAGAGAATTTCAGGTGAAATAATTTTGACCTAATTATCAACAAAGAAATAGCAGTGCCACTGCTAAGCAGCAAACATTATGTGCATAGGAGTTTAGGGTAATTCAGAGTCCAGGCGAATCATCAGCATTTCACCGATTGCTTCAGTCAGATTTTTCATGCTGACTTTTTTCTGAAACGAGTCTAATTTTCTTACAGCCTTACAGAAGCTTAGACTTAAGACAAAAAACAGGATCATAATATACGTTCCAACTATTAAAAGGTTACCTTGACGTATAATTCCGTATATGACATCTTAAATATATTCACGGGACCACATTTCTGAGCTCTAGACTCCTATCTTACACAACCCTACTCCACTCATGCCTCATTGATACTGAAGTCATGAGTGTCAGTCGCTGTGTCGGCAGGCAGAATCAGAATGACGGATCACGGATGCCAGCACAGCTGTCAAAAAGTTCGATTTGACTCGTATGAAAGCATCAGTTTTTTTTCGATTTATTTTCCTATTAAAACACTGCGGTTATCTTTAGAACTCGAAAATTTTTTTGTGAATAAACACCATTCATATAACGAATTGTGTCTGTCCAATCGTGACGTTGCGGGATTTTACAAACAGCTGTTTCACACGGGTTATTTTAAAAGTATCTCAAACTTGACTCTTCTGACTCTCATCGGCGGGAAATTCGTATAAAATCCTGATTTCAAAAATCGTGCTTACAAAAGTTAGCTACGTAGTTTCTGTTGATATTTATTGTAATTTATGAACAAATAAATTTATGAAGAGCAGGTATTCTGTATGGCATTTCGCTGCTCTACTACGTTTATGTGATGAATCTTTTGCTAGAGGAGCATGCTGAGAGGCTGAAAGGTTAAAGATATATCCCGCTCTGTGCAAAAAATGTAAAATAGGTAAAAAAAATGTCTCCAGTGCGTGCCCTGTAATGACTGTATTCTACGCAATTGATTCCAATCTCATACTAAAGATTAAAATTTACCAAATTTAAAATTTGATACAAAGACTCTCAGTGCCCACGTGTCAAATTCAAAATAACATGTAATCGATTTTTCTCATAATAATAATAGCGGTTTCAGCGTTTATTAGGCCGTAGGCTTGTCGCCGATTCTTAACATCGCAGAACATTCACAGCATTTTGAGGTCTCGAACTCGCAACTCACTGCTACAATTCTGCTGTGCTTAACCACCCGCCCTCCTTGCCGATTCTGACCAGAAACTGGCGCACAGAGCTGGGATTGGGATGGAACCCGCGCCTCTCTAGTGCGTCAATCTTGGTACTCGGAACTGTAACCACTGGGCCACCCTGCCACACCACTGGGCCACCCTGCCATTTTCATTCATTCATTCACCCTGCCAATCATTTTCTCTAAACGGTCCTCTTCCGACCCCAATTAACATAATGACCTCCCGAATTTAACCACGGGAACTAGGGGTCGATATTGGTCTGAATTTTGGTCCTTAACCAGAGGAGACATTTTCATTGTGTGAACGAATTTTACACAGTTTGCCAATTCATGAAGGTCTTATTTTATGAATCGCAAGCAATATATTTGGGCAAACACTTCATAAGAAAATTGTGGGCAGTTCATCACCTGACAGCAAGGGTTGTCCAGAAATGTCGAGTCATTTTTTTAGTGACTTTGTCACTCAACATGAAAAATTCGCGCCCAGAAAAACATTGGATCATCACTTCATTGGGTCTTAGTGTAAATGACAGAAGCACCGTTGGCAGGATAACAAGTAAAGCACCACGTTTAAGATATATTTCTTATGGTGTACTTGCTACATAATTCATTAGAAAAGTTCTTACGTTTAAAAAGTTCTTAGCAGTTAAGCTAACCTTTACCCCGGGTTGATAATTTCTTAATCCTGTTATTCAAGTCCCGTCCTTTCCGTAACCCATAATCTAATTAATAATAAAGCTTATGTATTCTTATGATATAAAGACCTCTTCAAACACATATTTAACGTAGAATATATTACTCCCGTTCGACTCTGCAAACTGCAAAATCAAATTTGAAATTTAATCCTATAATTTCTCCCAATCATTTTTTCTACCACTAAGGATAAAATTTTAAGTCCAAGCAATAGCCACGAGTATCGTGGCCACACGTTGAACAGCCCTTGAATATTTATGGAGCCAGGCTTCAAACACACACTCGCAAACTTTGACAAATATACACATGATTAACGAGGTATTACCGCAGCCGAGTAAACTCGTACCACAGCGAATGTTTCAGCATCATTCTTGCCCGTTGTTCGTATTGGGCTAGACGAACATGGATATCTGTAACTGAAGTGCGCACAAGAAAGCCTGCGTTGCTTTAGTAATACTGATAACAACTTAGAACTATATTGAACTAAAATTATAATCTGAGTTCAGTGTCTAATACTGCTTATACATGAAATTCGAACTAGAACCTAACCATGTATCTTGAATAAGACGTTAAATATAGAGGAAAAAATACATACGTGGATAGCAGACTCATTTTTCATAGCCGAAAGAGACAAAAGATTTGAAAAAACAAACCATGCCACGGTAAAGAAACGCAATTTGTCCTCTATTTACAGAAAGTAACTCTACTTACGAGGCATTACCTAGCATTTACAACGGCTCGAGTATCCGTCTGATCAATGGTTAAACACTTTAATTCATAATAGGGAGAAACACACTTACATTTTAATAAGAGGTACGCTCCATCACGCTTTGAAGGAATTGTAATGGTGCTTTTTACACACAGCTGCCCACATTAATGGCTACAGATGTACAGAGAGTCAGAGACGATTAAAAGTTAACAGGTACACACGTGTAAAAATACAAACTAATATAACGACACCAAAATATTCAATCAAAAACTGGTTAGAGTGGATGCAAAACCCATGTAAAAAACATGCGCAGGACTAGAAAAAGTCAAATTACCTAAATTAATGAGAAATGACGCAATTAATTATTGTACAAAGAAATTAGAATAAACATGAAATGAGACGGTCCTTCATCACGTAAGCAACAAGATCAGATGTACAAGTCACTGAGTAAAAAAATAAAATGCAGCTGCGACTATAGCAAGCTTCAACCTAGTTTTTATGCAGAAAATAATATTCCTGCAGCGAGATATGAAGAGAAAAATCGATCTGGCGAAATTACCAGAACTTTAGTGCAAGGATCTGGATATAATTTGCGGCGCAACCATCAAGAGGAATTAAAAATTTTAAGTGTCTTTTAGATCTAAGATTTCGAATGAAAGACATAAAACACGAGAACAAAAGAAATAAAATTAAATCTCGAGTAATGAATTTACTACATATTCAGGAAATATCAAAAATTCTCATTATTATTATTCAACGAAGCAGTTATCGTGGCGCCTGGTTCAAGCGAACTTCGAGGGCACGTCACACATAAGTTTAATATCAAGTGAAGAATAAAAAGACAGGAGAAAGAATGAGAACGGATAAAAACGACTAATAATAATAGAAAATGAAAATGAGTTTTGTCCATGCATATGTGAAGCGTGTTATTCGGCAAATCTATTTCCAAAGAAGCATGGCAAAACAGTGAGAGGAAAATATGGCAAAATAGACTATCAAGATATGCTGCGCCTGTGCATACGAAGATCTCGGCCTTCCTCGTACGTGATGACTTGATCGCTGTCGTCGACCTCTTTGGCAGCGATCGGGTGACCACGACGCAGAAGCTCAGATTCAGACCCGATCGCAGGATGGTGCAGGTTTAGTGCGATGCTGTGAACTTGCTGCACCAAAGGCATTCCAGGCGCTGAGGCCTCGTGGCTCAGACTCTGAAGCGACAGGGATGCGGGATCTAGGGGGTCGTGCCTGTGGTGACTCGGGTTCAGGGGATGTCGTGGGTCGAGGTAGTGAGGCACAGCAGCTGCAACGTCAGAGCCGTCGTCGGTAGAGCCGTCATACGACACGGTGATGACCTGCGGCTGCCGCATCACGCTCGACACTCGTGCAACAAATCCTCGCTGAAATTGGTAATCTTATCAACACATAGTATCTACGAGTATATATAAACAAGTGGTCACTTTTGGTTTCGAATTAGAGATAGAATCAAAACTCGGGTCTTATACGTCTGCAAAAAACACTATAACTACTATAGGTACTCAGACACATTCAACATTCCAACCAGAAGTTAAGATTATCGTGACCTGAAGCACGAAATTTTAATGACGTCTAAAATACCGGCAATGATATTTATACCTCAGCTAAGTAAGGCTTATCCCGAGATGATGACCGAGCAGCTTTCCCGTGTTGGTAAATTGCAGGTTTCTCCTTAAAGCCGCCACCTTCGCTCAAGTGTGGGTTCTTGTCTCGCGATGATTTTCCGGTCCTGGGGAGAATATCAGGGAAGACGTTGTCTTTTGGAGGTCGCTGAGAGGTGCTATTGGTGCGGTGGATAGGAGCTCCCAGGGTGCGGTTACGGGGCGCGGGCCGCTCAGGAGGACTAGGTTCCTGCACCAGAGGGCTGAACAGCCCCGTCGACGTCAGGAACGCCTTGCACAGCTCCTGGTCTCGGTGGTCGCCCCACCCGCCGTTCCCTTTGTGCTTTTTTATCTACAAATGTAATACATCACCACGTTATATGATCGAGTTACAACTTTATTAATTTCAAGCATTAATGTCACTTCATTGCCTTGATCGTGAATTAATTATAGTTTAATCATGTAGAAACAACTCTTGCCCGTTGCTTTTTAACTTTTGCATTGATGATTGAAATTGTTTCTGAGGCGCATTTAGGAGAATAAAAACAAATTCTCTTAGAATTTTTGCTGATTGATGCATAGTTTCAACATTAAAGATTCCATGATTGTTCTTATTTTCTTCGTGATAATGAAAACAGTGCCCTAGATTCGTACATTTCTGTCTTTTTAATACTATAACTATGGTAACTTGTTGAAACATCAATCAATTGCTGCACAAGCATATTGTTATTGTAATCGAGCTTGTGTGCGAGAAGGAATTTATTAACGTTTACTCTATTGCAAGTTTTGCAGAAACATGAATATTTGAAACAAATATTAGTAATACGGGACCTTTTTAGGTGGCGCCTGCATGATGATGAGCTTAAGAGGGAACAAAGCTCGTCGTCCGCTCTGCAGAGTGCGGTACACTTTGTTCAGCACCAGCTTGCTGCTGCAGTCCTTCTTCTTATGATGCACGCCACTGCAATTTAGTGAACCAACATATTCAGTAAACCATTACAACATTGTAAATCGATTTAAAATGTGATGGAGAAACAACGGAGATGATGATCGAAATAACGAAACAAATCTCACCCCCCAAATATGCGAGAGACAGCCTGCTCTTTCACTGACTATGATCATACACTCGTGTGTGATGCTACATGCGAAACATACCTGTAAATTTAAACTAATGAATCACGTTGTAATTAAAAACCAATAAAAGGATTGTCCATGCGTAATTTGTTATCGAAATAACATGTAAGAAAACAGAAAATCTTACTAAATATAGAGTAAATCTCAATGAAGGATCAAAAGCATCATGGAAGTTAATAATCATACAGTTAAAAATAAATTAAATCAAATAAAGACGATTCCCGTGGGAAATGAGTACAATCATCATAGTTGGACAAGGAAAATAAACATTTGGGAGAATTAAGTAGTGCAAAATAATAAAAATATAAAAATAAGCAGTCAGCCAGAACACACAAAGACGCTATTGCACAATACAAATAAAATTCAGGTTAACCAGCCGTAAAACCCGGCGTGACTTTAAGGATAACAAAATTAAGAAGCAGAGCAGAGTCCCTCAGCTGATGAAAAGGAAATTTAATGGTGGCTCAGAAGACATTAGGAAAAATATGCAATAAAACGCTGCGAAATGAAAAAAATGCCTCCAATTAAAGTCGGGACCAAGATGAAGTGTAAATAACATAAAGGAGTCGGAACGTGGGGGCCAGGCGAGGATGGCCTCACCATTCTCCTATATGGAAGACCCTGGGGGCCCTGAGTACCATGGTGTGCAGACGTTGCTGGAGACACGTGTTGCTCACGTGCTGTAGCGACCAGTCCCAGTTGTAGTCGTCGTGCGTGCAGAAGCCCACGCCGCACGCCTGTGTACGAGGCACCAACACGACAGCGACGACACGTGCAGCGTTGAAGGGGAAACAAGGATTTGCGAGCCGCGGGACAGGGAAGGTGCAGGTGTATTAGATATGTGATGAAGTACAGGACGCAAGGTGGAGGTATATTAATAACGCGAATGACTGGTAAGAAAAGCAATATAAGCAGATGCCAGCACGGGGTGGGCAAGATGTGGGGGAATTGGTTGAGCAGATGCTATGACATTAAGGATGGATAGGAGGTATATTAGAAGAGTGAAAGAATGGTAAGAAAAGCAATATAAGCAGATGCCAGCACTGGGTGGGCAAGATGTGGGGTATTTGGTTGAGCAGATGCTATGACATTAAGGATGGATAGGAGGTATATTAGAAGAGTGAAAGAATGGTGAGGAAAGCAATATAAGGAGATGCCAGCGCGGGGTGGGCAAGGTGCAGGAGTAATGGTAGAGGATATGCAATTCAATTCAGGATGGAAGGTGAAGTTTATTAGAAGATGTGGATGATTGGAAAGGGAAGCAATAGAAAGGAGAGGCAGCACGGGATAAGGGAGGTGAGGAGGGAAATAGTAATGGGTATGCAATCAATTACAGGATGAGGGGTGGAGGACTATGAGGAGTTGTAAAGACAGGAAAGCAACAGAATAAGGCAGCAGCACGGGTTGGGCACAGGTCCAGATCAGCAAGTAAAAGCCACGATAGAAAACAGTAACCGAAGCTCAGGCATAACGGTAGACTTAAGTCATGATAAAAAGGCAGAAATACCCACTAAGTTTTCCAATAATTTGACCAGGCATCCCAGGACTTCAAGATTTAGTTAAAGAGAGATTAGCATGTTGCGATGTCACTTCACTAAGACACAAATAATGAGTAATCCTAATGTCCGTAAACTTTCAAGCAATTGAAAAGCCAGAAAAGAGACGAAAGGGACAAAAATTGAGTCTTACCTTTATTTTCTGCCAGGTGGTGCGGTTGAATGCAAACCCCATGTTGTGCTTAGACGACAGCCAGGGCGAAACTTCCACCTGAGCTCACAAGAAAATGCACAAAAACTTGATGATTTAAACAGATGCAACTTATGATTTAGATATTATTACACCTCATAAACAAACATGTGCGTTCCAGAAGCATCAGCATTAACTTCTGAAAACTCAATCGAGCCTTGATTCATATGTTTACCGACATGTATTGATAAGTAACACAAGGCAGCCAAACACATGCAATACTTGTTCAACTTTTCAAGCAAATTTCCTAGTGTAGGCTGTTAGCAGCCGGCATATAAATTAAAACCAAAAAACATGCATAAATATCCAAGGTAGGGCATGAATAAAAATGTATGTAGGTCGACCGGGGTGAGCATAAGTGAGCTCACCTTCTTAGCATCGCCAGGCCAGTTGTAGTTCTTCAGGTAATTGCCCAGCGTGAGGAGACTGCAGTGAGGACAAGCGTGAGGCAGGGCGGCCGAGAGCAGCGTCAGCATGTGCAGCAGGTCCTCGCTCACGTAATGATCTTCTTCTAAGAACAGCACCAAGCCGGAGTGGTTGAGTGGCGTCAAAACCGCATCAAATACTCTGCAATAATACATGGATTAAAGCACCACTGGATTAACTGCTAAAAAATGGATGAGATATGACCATATTCATGTAAAACGTTAAGTGACAATAGCTATTAAAAAAATATAACTCAGTACTCACTGCAGTGAGTGACAGAGCGCGCATTTTCTCGTTGACAAAAACTAAGTCACAGACGGACAGACAGACGGACAGACAGACGGACGGACATGATGAGCACAATATGGCATTTTTTCCATAAATGAGAAAATGCGCTAAAAAGGCAAACAAAGAATCGTCTGAGCTAGATTTTAGACTGACTTATTAAAGGCAAACAAAGGAACGTCTGAGCTAGATTATAGACTGACTTATTAGCTTTCCACCACCAGTGGTTCTTGGTTTGCGTGTAGCGTGGCTCTCGGTAGTGGCCGTACAGGTCTGGGTTGCCCCGACACTGCAACTCTTTTGCTCTGAAAAGTGCATAGTAAGAAAATTATTTGGAAACACACCACATTGTGTCATTCAAGAAGTTTCAGTTTTATAATATCTAAACGCAGTTGTGATAAAATGCAATTGAGAGTAATAATTCAAGTCAAACCATGGGTGAAGACCAAGAATTTATATCACAAAATAAATTTACAAGGTATTTCTTCCTGGGCTTGACTAAGAAGAAGCTGCAGAGACAAATTACTCCTGCATGATGTTCATTATTGAAGTAATCCAAAAACAGTACAAGTTGATAATTTCTCACAGTTAGTTTCTATATTTATTTAACTAACGAGTGAGAAAGTTCTGGGCACAAGCATTTCATTCAAAGCTGCAAAATAACAAAACTTGTTAGCAAGACAAAATTTCTATCTTCTTGCAACATAGTATTGTGCAGAGAGCCCGAATGAGATTTGGCATTTAAATCTTCAATAATGAACTCATGACGTAACAATCGCTCAAATTGCAAATCAACAATGAATTAAAAAGCAATGAAAATAGGTTAATTTTAGTGGCCATCTAATGAAATTGCAGCATATACTCTGATTCATTGTATTGATCTGATATATACCTGACTAGTATTATTTTCAACCTCATTTGACTGTCAGAAATTTTCCATTCTACCCTGAATTATATTGCATGCTAGGTTTTGTTGATGTGTGTAATTAAATTTATCACAATAAACTTAAGAGGAAGCTTTACATCTTGCGGTCGGTGTCACGAGGGCAGTCGCCTGGTGAGTGCCCAGGGAAGCTGGTAGGATGGAGCTGCAGTGTGTGAGGGTAGAACACTTGCAATACCTTACAGAAAAAAAATAAAATATAGAAATTTCATTAATTGAAAGTTAAAATTTTAAGCTAAAGTGACGCAATTAAAGTTCAAGTGACAACAGGACCTTGGTTCATGAGCAAATATATTGGTTATTTAACACATTGACCTTGAAGTGGTACATACGTGGGCCACAAAGTGTAGGTATCTACCTATTTCTCCAGGACATAGTGGTGCAGAAATAACATCTTGAGGAAACAGTTGTTACAAAGCAAAAAAATATTTCCGAGATCTCAATACCATAATTATTACAAGATTCACCACAAATGAGGTCAATAATGATGGATGATCACATGAGTCATCACACAAAACTCACCATACAGAAGTCAATGTTCATTATCAGCTGATTGATGGCTTCATCATAGAAGTCATGTGAGAAAATGAGGAGCACCGAGTCAATACCCCGCACCTCTGCTAAGGACACAATCAGATGACGCAAGTAGTTCAGGCGATTGTGCACCTGTAGATAAAAACATTTGAAGCTGAACATGAATGATGTCAATTGAATTAATAGCAATGAAATCAAGTTAGTAAGATACACTTCTGCATATCCTTCAGTCAGAGAGCATTAAAGCAATCTAATGTTGGGAACATTGATGACAACTTTTTTATTGCATTAGTTAATGCTTCAAAAACTTGTCCTAATTTCCCATTATGCTTATCAAACACCACTATTTAATTACAGAACCATAAACAAATGTGATCTTCAAAAACAAAAAAAAATGCTTGTCAAAAGTAAAATATGAAACTAGCACCTTTGCAAATTGAAGACCTGGGGCCAGATAATCAAAACATCACCAAGTACACATATGTAGTGACTTACATGCTGCGTAACTAGGTACGGTACTGCTGTGAAGACGTAACTCTAGTGGTGTTATTATAGAAACATTTGCGCGGGAAGCTATGTACAAGAAGTTGTATGTAACTACACCTGCTTAGAGGTGTCATAAAGGTAGTTACATACAAATTTCGAATGGGCCAAGCAATTGGTAATCATTTAGTTACTAGTGTCTAGACTGTAGTATTTTACTAATGTATAGACTCTGGTATCATTTCAATGTAAATCTTCTAATTTTTATTTAGAAAAATATTTTTCCTACATCTGAGGAATTATATTAGTAATGCATCTCATAAATTTTTTCTCTGTACATGTCAATAGAAAATGAGTAATTAGTGGAGCTAAACAATGAATAGATTATAAATATTAATCTATAATTGATAGTAGATATAAATGGATATATAATAGGTATATATTAATCAATAATACCTGTTTTTCAATCTTGAAATGGCATTTGTCATTGATTTTTTTAGAGTAAAGGCATCTAGGATTCTTTAAAAAAGCTAAAAATGTTAACTAAACTAACTGGAAACAGAAGTGTGGCGTTATATGACACATGATACAAACAATGGATGTAAGCGAGCTTCTGATTGGCTGATGTGCAACCAAGTTTGATAATAGCTACTTGGATATTAAGGTGTACTTAAGCAAAACACATATCTTTTGTGCCCAAGTATAAAAAGTTAAAGTTTTGATAATCTGGCCCCAGAGAAGTGCATCACCACTCACCTGAATGACAATGACAACAGTGTTGGGCTGAACAGGACCAAAAACCTCTACATTTTGAATGCTTTCAGACCCAGCAAATTCTGTGATATGCTCCCAGATCTCCCATATCTTGTCTGCAGGCAGCGATATAGTGGTTGACACTTCAGGCACAGATGACAGCTAAAAAAATGTGTTGAAAATATTTGAGTTTGTAATGAGAAATTATTTAAGTGTATGAACAATTATAATTTCAAATATATCCATGTGCAATGGGGAATCTAGATATATATTGACTCTTACTGGATGCCATTTAATCACAAGTTATATGAAATCAAAACAAAGACCAATAGAAGATGGCACTCAACAAACCTTTTGCATGAGCACATGCAGAGGCATGTGCAGAAATCCCTTGAGACTGGGGTCAGGCTCTAATGATTCATGATCAGCAGTAGCAGGAGGATCATGAGGCAGAGAAGGTAATGCCAGCTGAATCCATGCAATGCTTAGCACAACTACGACCACAATGATGCGCACACCACGCTTTACACCACCAGTCCGCATGGTAACTTTCCTAATTAGCATACAAACATGGCAAACTGGCTGTCAATGTCCAACATTGTTCCTCAGATGGTAAGTGGCAATGAAGGGGAATATTCATTCACAGGATGCACGCTGCAGCACACATATATTGCTCTAGAACAGGTTAGGATTTTGTTACATTATAATATTTAAAAAAATTATTGATACTTATATAAATTGTAAAGTAACATCAAATGGGGTAATAACGGACGGGCGGGTAAACTGAGACAGTCCTCTAGGCTCTACCAGTGACAACAGCGTAAAAATGTTATAGTAGCAACTAGCAACATTAATTTAATTATTGCAAAGCTAAAATAAGTATCAAAAAATTCAACATTTTTCTTATCTATATAGCATAAAGGGAGTTAAGAAATCATATATTTACTAGGGTAAACGTGGTATATTCCAACACTTTAAGGACGTAGCAAAAAATGAATGGCTATAAAAAAATCACCGTACGTGCAACTCGAGTTCTGTTTGCTTTACGTCACTCTCCAAACACCGCACTACACGCCAGCAACAATGAAATGTCACAAAATGTTGCCATATTTATTTAAAAGCCTTTAGAATGCTAACCTACCAAATCCATATATTCAGACACAATGCAACACTGTGTGACTAAATTCGGCATTTTGTGAGACTAATTCCGGCTGCGCTTCAAACTCTACTAATTTGTAATTCCGACACTCTTGTGTTTAAATTCTGATTGCTGTGTGAGCTGTATTGGAATACAACACAGCTTGGAATTAGAACACCATTGAATATTGAACACTACTTATTTAGGCTTTTAATTAAGAGCTATTAAGCTTATAATTAAGAAAATTTTAATTTTTGCATACAGCTTGGAAGGAGCTGTGTGTGTCTAATTCCAAGCTGTGTCAGAATTAGTTTTTATATGTCTATATATAAAACCATCTCTTAACTTAATCATCTATTAATTGATTTACAACTTAAAATCAGCAAATACAAGTATAGGTACTTCAAGGATTCCTAATATATTCACAGACTTATTTAAAAGTCGCAAACCATAATATTCTATCTACACAAACAGTTTATTACTATTTGGTAGACGTAGAGCAAGGTCAACTATCAACTTTGACACATTTTTCGATGTTCTCACTGGGTGACGCGCACTGTCTCTCATTGGATGAAATTGGATCTCAACATTTTCCCGCCAGACGGTCCAGACCTAGTGTTTTGGCAATAGTATGGTGCGCAAGAGTATGACGTCACTATTTCAACCAACAATGAATGCGTGGAACTAAGACTAAGCTTAATAAAAAGGAAAAAAGTTGAGAAGTGTCAGAATTACCCATGATGTCGGAATATACTGCAGATACCCTACCTCTGAAAAATCCCTGAGAAAAGAGATATCTTGAAAAAGTACTGCTAACTGCTATGGTCCAATTTGCCATATTAAGCACTATTTCAGAAAAAATATGACTTTTCCAAAATTCCAACCCTGTTCCAAACATAGTGGCAAAGCAGAGTTTTTCAGACTTTCCCTAAAGTTTGTCTTTGAGTCCTATATGTATAAGTACTGTAGGCCATTTATTTAGGCAGGTTAAATCAGGACACTGAGGTGCCAGAGGCAGTGAGGCCAGTCCTCACTCCTCTGAAGCTCTGACATTTCTGTCTTTTCATAGAACTGTTGTAGCAACTAAACTAATTGAAATATTGCAAAACTAAAATAGTGGCATAAAGTTATAAATTATCCTATCTAACGGGATGTAGCATAAAGCAAGTTAACAAATCATACATACCCTGCCACTAAAAAATCCCTGAAGAAAGTGTGAAAAGTGAAATTTTGGAACAGGGTAAATAATTTATTTAATTTTGTGCACAGGCATTGGCAAATCAGTTCACAGCTTGTAAATGGCTTTTCATTGCCACTTGCCAAAATATGGAATTTTAGGCTCAAACCTCAAAGAAATGGAATCATGGATAGCAAATCCATAAAACCATAGCTCAAAAATCCAGTTACGGTTCACTAAGAGAGTAGATACCGGTACCTACTTTCCTCCCACTGTCACTGTGCAGAGAGTGGATGAATATTGCAAGATCTTTGGCAACGCTTCAGTAGCAAAATTTACGCCTTCAGAAGATCTTGCCAACACATTTAGATTGAAATTCTTGCATTTAATATATTTGTCAGTCTTCGGCCAACTATTTAAAAAAAAGGAAGGCTTCCGATATGTTGGATGGATCAGGTCGCAGTGAAGCTTGTATGGAAATCAGTTGCAATGAGTTCCCACCAAAAAAATGTAAACATCAAGCTTACGATTACGTAGTTGCGGTCACATTAGAGCGGTCAGACTGCATTATCACANTTTCCTATTTTGGAAACTTGCAATAGATGGTTCATGTCAGCTGGGGAAATTGCATCAAACTCAATAGCTGCTAGGTTTCTTCTAGGGTTGGTGCGCACCTTAATATTTGTAAATTTTCCAAAAGCTGAACCTCTAATACCTTGAGCAAGGTTCACAGGGTTTTGTAGAAAAGTAGCTGAGTTAGGGCCAATTGGTTTAATAAGAATAGTGCAGCCTCTTCCCTGGCTCATGAGCGTGGCATTCATTGCTGGAGTGACGCGTTTATGACGTCTTGCCCCAAATTCCACGCTTGTATGATCTGCTGTCTCATCAAAAGATTGCTCACTGTCAATAAACATATTAATCTGATCTGTTGTCTCTATCATGCCACTTTCTTTGGGGTACTCGGAGGCAATTTTTTTAGCCAAGTTAAGTGCTTCAACATCCTCACCATCATTGGCTGTCCCTATGATATCACCTTCACGTGCTCGCTTTTTGCAGCCTGCAACTGTCACTTTATCATTGCTGGCAAGATCAATGTCAGAAGGAATATTTGTAAAAGAATCCCTGAGGCATGCAGACTGATGTCCGGCATCACAGGAACTGCTCAAGTTAATGGATGAAGAGGCCAGCCTTGCTTCATCTGCCATAGCAGGAAGCATCTAGGCCTCTAGATGCAGTTCTTTTAAATGCAATTAAGTATAACAACAATGAAAAGAGAGGAAAAAGAAATAACAAATAGATAAATAATAACAAAAGTAGAAGAAAGGAAGAAAATAAAAGAAAAAAAAAAGAAAAAAAAGGACTGGCAAACCTTTGTGGGAGAAAGCCAGTTGGGTTTTTCTAATGAAAATAAAATGAATTTATGGTGGAATACACAATGATTTTATAACTTTAACTTCAAGTGGTGTACAAAATTAAGTTGCAAAATTAACCGGTTATTTGACGGAACGCAATTCAAACACGTGCTTTTGCTTCCAACGCAACTGACTCTCTCCGATTATGTAGTTGCGGTCACATTAGAACAGTCAGACTGCATTGTCACATGTTCAGTTGACACTTGCTGTACAATCGGACTGTTTTTAGGGTAAAATTAGTTATTTGGGATAACACATGCATGCAAATTTTTAAATAAGATTGTGGCTTGTAAATAGTTTTTCATTACTCAGCGTAAAGGCTTTTCATTAAAAATTACCCGGCAACGCATCTTAAAATTACCTGGCGACGCTTGGGGCTTAAAAACCCATATACCGTAAAATGGGGTAACTTAGACCACTTTTTTATAAATGATGCCATTTTTTTACTAGCTAAATTAAACTTGAATTGAAATGTGCAAAATACAGGTCTATACTCTAGCTTCACTCACCATAA